CCTGAGTGATTTCCAAATCTTTTCAACATCCGCTGAAATAGTTCATAGAAATGGCTTAACAAAGAGATCCTTCTTAGTCGCAAGTTAATCTACTAAACAAAAACTAAATTGTATTTCTCTGGTAAATTAAATTAAAAGGGAGTGGTGACAAGAGCAGAATTCCAAGCAGGATAGTAGCACGATATAAGGACAAAAGATACTTTCTCAAGACCTTGTCGTAGAAAGCTTTCCCAACTAGAATTCGAAAGGTTGAGTTTTTGCGATTAAGAGGCTCGAAACAGAACCACATGTTGGTATGGTATATTGTATCGTAAGTGGAGGTGTATGATAACACAAAGCTGAAACACTGAAAAAAGGCTCAACAAAGTCAACACAAACCCTTTTGTTTTTTTCAGAGAAGTAGAATGCAAGCATTCGATTTTAACTGCTTTTGCTTAATGTGAAACTAAACTATAGTTGTTCATGTATATATAACCTTCATCATCTCTCTCTACGATTTAGAGTTAAAACTTAGAGCCAAACTTTTCAATTTACGAGTTAAGAAAAAATTCTCCAGAAATATTAAAAATTGAAGAGTTACAGATTAGTTTTAGTGGCTAACAGCAAGCGTCAAACAGGAAGCTTCTGCTTGTTATGAACCATGACAATTATCTTCTTCTAAACTAAGTTCTTTTGTTGGATAATGACTATGGTAGCAGGCAAACTGAAAATGAGTGATGATTAAACAAATTTCACCGAGTTTTGCAAAAGAAAAATGTCACCCTGATGTTTGGCTTTTCCTGGAAATCTCTCTTACAGTAAATTAGCAGGCGTACTCTTTGACAGAGGGCGTTAAGAATCATTTTTAACAGAATAAGGACATAGGAGTCCTACGTCATTTGTCTCTCCTTTGCACTCTCCACTTACCTTACGGGTTCACATGTTAAGGCAATCAAGTTGAAAAATCTTAATGTACATGGGATCATAAGATACTAACTGGAATCAACTTTAAAACAACGTTCAAAAATGGTACGAAATAAACGAAAGGTTTGGCTATCACGCCTTTTACCTAAGGTTTCATTAGTGATTCGATCAGTTAAAGGCCTCGCTCAGCTTACCGTTTTTCTAGCCGGGTAAGCGTTATAAAATGGAAACCGACAATGGCCCCCTGATCGCCGATGCCAATAGATGCGTAAACGCTGATTGAGAAAACTAGAGCACTTCACCTTCTTAAGTAATGTATGTGCTCGAAGGAAGCGTTCCCCCCTAATGCTTATATTTTAGCTGTCACGCGTCTTCCGTACACCTTCGTTTGCCCTCGAGATAATGAATGTTAGGGTTTAGGGTTAGGGTTAGAGTTAATTGTAGTTGCTTACATTAAGAAACTTCGGCTTTTTGCATTTGATTTGCATATAAAATAAATTTGACGGATTTTTTCTTCTCAACGGTCTATCTATTACTTTATTAGGGAAAGGTTTTGATTTTGAAGATGCATTTGCTTGTATTCTTATAATTCATTCTCCTTTTCCGTACATCTGAACAATTTTAATGCATTAAAATTGTTCAGATGTATTTTTGGGTGCCACCCAAAAATCTGTTATTTTAAATTGAGGGGAATTGATCGACCATGGACACAATTTTGGCATAATGAACATTCCTTGTTTAAAGACCAGTTTGAGCCAAGTCACTACTCACATCATAACTATCTGCCAAAAAGCAAGGCTTACAAAACAATGCTGTTTTGAAAGACAATTAATGGTTCAACACTGAAAAACAGCAAAGCTAACATACTTCATGCTTTTTATGTTCATGTTTAAACTTTTCACATCTTACTCTCAACTTACGGAAACTTTTGTTTGAATCTTCCGCTAATGACTGACATTAAATTAATTCTCAGAACAGTCACCCTTTTTTCCTTCTAAAAGTTTCCTTCGTGGCCAAAATTTTCACCCCCACTCCATACTCTCCGGGGAAATTTTTATTCCATAATTCCGTTCATTTTCCAAATCGCATGACTTAATTCAAAGAGGCTTCATAACAATCTATAGTTGTATTTTGCTAGGTATGATGTTCTGAGATGCATGCAAAACTTTAACACTGAGAAGAGCTAGAGAAGGCAATAGATAAATCCTTTAGCATCGATATTCCTGTAAAATGCAACAGATTTTTTCCTGAAAACTTGCATGTTTGGCTAAAGAAATTGCACTCACCTTGCACGTTTGAGCCTTACCACTGCGGTTACCAAAGGATAGTCAGGTCTGACTGACGAAACCCCGGAGTGTTTATTATATTTTATGCATGCTTTCATGAAAACAAAGATCCTGTGTCAGAGGGACAATATGACATCACCTGTCAATCATGGGTTATTTGATTTATAATAGAGCTTTAGAAGTTACAAACTTCAGCTACTGGAATTACTTAGCTAGATCCATGCCTGATTTAAGATGAAGGTGTCTCTGTATGCGTGGAAGTCAATTGCAAAGGCTGATGTTGACCTACTTAACTGTACGCAACGAGAGACAAGTTTGTATTTTTAGGTTTGGAGTTAAGCCAAGGACGAGCCAGATAATGGCTTTGTTAATAAAAGGCCTTAAAATAAACCAACCGATAAGCTTTATTGCGATTGCTCATCTCAAAGTCAACTATCCTGATACATTTTAGGGCGTTCACGTGTTTCTGAGCTGTAAGGGTGAAAATTTTTCTGTAACCTGTTTGGCTTACTTTTTCAACCTAACGTAGAAGTTGAAAAGTAAAGTTAGCACTGACCCTGTCATCAACTAAATAGTAATGGACACAAAGAATATTAGTAATCGAAGTCGAAGCTTCCCTCGGACATTGTCAGTGGTCAATGAGTGATTGAGTTTGGCATCCTTTTCTATTGGACATCATATCTTACTAAGAAATAAAACACAAACAATCTCCTATATATAACATCTGTTTGTCTCTTATTTCATATTGAGCTATGATGTAAAAAAAGAAAAAAAAGACTATGTAAGTTGACGATGAAGTCAATCTACGCCCGAGTGTCTTATCAAGTAAGCAAAATAACGACTGCCTATTGTTCAACTCGTTTAGTCAGTGAAGTCTCAAGAAGTGGTTTTTTTTAGAATCTGTTCATCAGTCTTTGAGCTTCGTTGCTCAGTAACGATCTCGCTGCCTCGAAGCCTTAAATGATTTCTGTGAAGTCCTTGATTGTTTTTACAAGTTATGCAACGCTAGCTAGTTGCGTAGCGCAGTATCTTGTTGTTGACTGATTACAGCATCTTTTGTTCCTACAAAATTTAGTCATACTCAAAACATTCCTCAATGTGCGTACGTGTTTTACGGTTTGTCGTTCAGTTTTGTTGGTGGTTGCATCACAAGTGAACACTCGCCTGCGGTCATTTTTGGTTTCTAATGAAAGTCATCAGTTAAAAAAAATATGAACAAACGTTTTGCTTTTCTTTTAATTGGGGGCCTTGTTATCCCTTCTGGTCCTGATTTTATCGACCCCAGAAACTTGAAAAGCCGAGTCCATTTTATATAAAAAGTACAAAGATATTTTATTCCTTAAAACTAAAAATTCCCTCACTCCTCTTTCAGATTCAGTGAGAGTGGCAAACAAATAGGCGCGCAAAGCATGCTTATAGCTGCCCCCTCTTTCTATGCCATCTTTTCAGGTTCACAAATTTGGCTTAATCGTTTGCTTCGTTAGGTATTTCATCGTGTTGTTTATTAAGCATCTTCTTGTTCTTGTTCTTCTCCTTCTTCTCCTGGGATTTAAGTAAGAGAAGTATTAGTATTTTAGCCAATTAATCTATAGAAAGCTGTAAACAAAGAAGACGGTAGCGGCAGCGACATTGTCACAAGCCAATAATATGACTGCTTGGAAATTGCCGTGTTGCACGTGTAACGCTCATTCTTTTCCATTTCTTTGACGTGATATGGCAAACGACAAGGTGAAATTTCCAAATTTGAGGTTTTAACGACACCGCGAGTTTTTGTAATATTTTCATGAAAACATGCATTCCAGTTGTAGAATCATTCACCTATTTTTCACAACGTGAACTGGAGAGAAAGAAGCGAAATACCTAAGATCTTAAGACAGCCCAGAACTTTACTCTATAGTCACGTTGCCATAGTAAGCGTATTTTCGTTTCATATCTGGCGTGAGGGAGATCTGCTCAAAGTCGTCCTCTTACCAACGGATATATCGTGATATCTTTCATTGAGGACTTGGGAAGCTAGTGTTCAACTCCAGTGAGATGGAACTTGTTGCAATTTTTTAACTGAGATGTCAACAAGGTTTCTGCATTCAAGCAAAGCATGTTACCACCCATTCCCCGCCGAATTTTATTGTTGCACTTGTCTGTCGTGCATTCGTAACTCTTGATAACATCCATAGTGATGTGTATGACAAGTTTCAACCTGTTGCTTTGAGCTGGCATTGAGATCTTTTAATGTTTTTAAACATTAAAAGATCCGTGAGCAAATTAAAATTTCCCAAAATTTCTTTATTGTTTAGTCTTGCTCAAGGCTTCATTGTTTTTCAGATGACTTGGCTTATACGTTGTACACAAAATAGTTTCATTAGGTTAAGAGTCAGCATTGTTCTCTAGTGAACAACAAAGGAACTCTCTGTGTAAAATCATGGACCTTCTGGCGATATATATTTTAATCACAAAGGCCAATTTATTCGGCTTAAAATGAATGGCAAGAGTACAGTGGCTTCAAAAAGTTAATGGTAATTGAAATAGCCGGTCATCCGTAATTAATAGGTAAACGAATGAATTCACTTGTCAGCTATTCTATGAAACAACGAAACTTGAAAGCCTTCTTTTCTGACAGACGTCAGTTTGTGTTAATATATTTCACGCACGTTTTGTGAGTTAACTGCGATTGGAGACCGTGGCTGGTGAGAAGTAACTAACCACGTAAACAAATTTCACTTGGAAAAAGATGTTACCTTAAACACATTTTCTTGTAACTTTTTCAGAATTTATCGCAAAGCATTATTCAGGGGGGCCCAACGAGGATATAGTTCAAAACCTCTTAACATAGCATTGTTGAACGTATTTTAGTATTCAAACGGTAGATATAGGCATATTTTCATCCCCTAAAAACTTTTCATCTGTTCGGATTTCCTAGCTGAAAGTCTAGTCATCCGAAAATTATAGGGATAAAAACTTACCTTCTCGAAAATTTCAGCCAGGAAAAGGCTCCCGAAAATTTTAGGTGGCCTTTTTTAGGGTCAAAATCCGTTAACAATGGGTTCGAAAATCCTAGGAGAGGCAGGCAAGCAAGAAATTTTACAACAAATAATCCGAAAATTCTAGATCTCAAATCGTCTTCCGAACAGATATTTTCCCGGAAATTGCCGTTGGGTGCCCCTGATTAGGTAGGGGTCGCGTTTAAAGACATCTGTTCATATGTTTCGCTACCAAAAAATGATCGCAGCCAATTTCCGACATAACATGATCCAATTATAATAGCCAGGCTTGCGGTCGCGCACTTACGACATATAGCATCTCTTACTAAGTATCGGTTTACTGGCGGGTACTGCCGGGAAACTCGTTTCACGTGGAATACTTTGTGTACATCATGTTCAGAGTACTTCTCCTGCTCGCCACTTTTATGCAGGTCTATTTTAATCTCCTGAATTTGCAGCAGATGATTATTATCAATGCTTTTCATGGTCTCCGCCGCAGAAGATTGATTGCCATTCAGCTTCATAGGAGAATCCTCAGACGGCGAAGACGAAGGCATCGACCAAGGTTTTGGCGCCTGCCCCGGCCTATGAATTCATGGTTCGAAATCCACTATAATGATCCCTTGATTCCCGACGATTATTTTAAAGAGCAACTTCGGGTTAGAAAAGAAACTTTTGAAGTGATTTTGAACCACCTGAATCCTCATTTAACGAGGGAAGATAAGGCAATGCACGACTACCACCAGAGAAAGTGCTTGCTATTGGACTTTATAGACTCATCTGTCTGTCTTCAAACCTGGTGTCGACATATTATTGACAGCTCTCCATTGTTTTTTACCTCTTTTGCCCGATATGACCCGCTCCGAGGCAGGACATCGGATCCTTTGATCTTATGTCCTGCGAAGCTAGTATGTCGCTAAGCGCGACATAAGGGTCGCGCTTGTCTGAGGCTAGCGATGACAGGTCAAACACCTATCCAAACACATTTGCCCTTGAACGCGACCCGTGCCTTATTAGCATACCACAAACAATCATTAGCAAGCCAATGGAGCGTGACCTTTTACAGACATTTGATTTCTCAGATCAAGAAAGAACGATTTTAATACGATAATCGCGCGGTTCACTGCTGAATCACAAATTGGCCAGTAAATAAGCTCTTCCAACCAGCCAACCGACCACAGACGAGCGAAGGAGTGGTAGAGGTTGGATAAACATTGTTCATTCATTGTCTTCTCTGCCTTGTAATTAGCCTCAAAACTGCTGTTAGTCCATGTGAGTCACTATTACAAAATTAGTGCTCAATATCAATTTGTTTGAAACAAGGATCATAATGTGGCGAAATGAACGCAAAATGTAAAATGTTGAAGATCGAGCAGCTCTTTTGTTTGTGTTATATATTGCGCGCGCCTTTTATTGACATGTTTGTATGTTTGTATTATAAGGATAGTTCTGTGTATGGCCCGATTGTTAGTTGATCACCCTTTTTCGACCATAAACTGATGGAGTTTAATCATCTGGATGAGTGAAACGCTACGAAGGATTCCTGTTGATTAATTGACGCTCCTCTCCGACAACTTGGGCCGTAGCTATCTTTAGAGTTAATTATTCAAGTGCTGTTGACTCCCGCTGGTGTGGAAAGGTCAGCCAGTAAACAGCCGTCTCTTTCAGGACTTCATTATGTCGGAGGATTGTGTCCATCAAGATTTATCACTTCTGGGTTCAAAATATTTGTCAGGTTTGGTTTGGCACCCGGGTTAATGGTTAACTTTGAAATCGTAAGTAGCAACCGACGTCAACGCCCTGAGGCGTCTTGTTGCTCAACAGTTTACCAACGGTATGTAATTTCAACAGAAGTTCAGTCAATACAGTCGGCATTTGATGCTTTTATTCCACTACCCTTGACAATACAGTGCCGAGAATATCTAAAATATTTGAAATTTTCGCGAAGCTCCTCGCGTGATCTTTGATTTCACCAAAATAATGCAAATAGAAGAAGAAGTTTATTTCAAATTAAATATACCTTACAAAGCTTGGGCCCGCAATTAGCGAACTCAAGGCTAAATTATTAAATGGAAGCAATGTTCGGTGTCCATGTTCCGTTGCCATGCCTCAGGATACCTGTGAAGCGCTAGCTTCCGTGCCGATTTTTTAGCACGTGTAAATGCGGTTTAAAGCACACATATAAATCAGTGATGGAATTCGTACGCCGCTTGTTTTGATAACTATTTCGTTCTGGGGATATCAGCTCACAACACCATGATACCTGAGCAAATGTAGCAAGTGTATAGTGAGAAAAATAAAAAGATGTGATTGCAGATACATTTGAGCACAAACCCCCTCAGTACTGAGAGCCCCAATAACATTTGGACGAAGTGAAATCTAGTTTTCTGTTTAAATAATAACTAGTGCAGCGAAAGCGATTCAATCCTGGATTCCTTAATTTGCTAAAACTATTAGCTTAAAACACGCCTCCACGAAGCCAATTAAGGTCGAGAGTTCTTCGACTTAAAGTGGGGCCGAAGATAACATGGAATTTAAGCTTTGACTTGGACTCCAACTCAAGGATGTTCTGCACACCGTTTACTCAAAATAAGACTCCATGTGGCAACTTGGTTGAATGACATATTTTAATCAGCTTGTGCAGTGATAGCCTCCCACGCAGGCGTTTTTAGGGGAGCTCAACAGAGGACAACATTCCTTTCCCACGCTTAGCCAATCACGTTGTACTTTCCAAATTCTGGAAAGTTGACCTTGACCGCAGGGTAACCCGATAATCCCGCGATCTGCATGAAACTTTAAGAAACCTTCATGACCTCTAATAAATGTTAGTCTCAGAGCGGCAAAAGTAAGATTTACTCAGTCAGATTTTAGAATTCTCTGTGCACTGCATAACCTTAGCGAACGAAAGAAAAGAAGGAAAAAGGTAACTCTAGGGTCACGTTCTGGATCACGTTTTTTGATATCACGAGCTTATGAGTCATGCTTAGCCTGTCAACACTTTATTTAAAAACCGTTGATTAGTCACTTACCACGCGAATGCAACAATGGGAAAGGAATGTTGTCCTCTGTTGAGCAGGCGTTTGTGGGGAGGGAAGAAATACGAGCTCCCCTAAAAACGCCTGCGTGGGAGGCTAGTGCAGTGAGGCCTAAGGGAATACTTGATTAAGTGGTTTGGGATCCCATGATTATTCTGCCCGAATCACTACACAATGTGCAGAAACAATGGCTTTTCCCAGACCCATCGACAAGATCATTTTAAAGTTTGGAGGAAAGAAGTCAAAAAAGTATAATTCAAATTTTCATCTAGTGAGCGCAATTTTTCATTATCAAAATCGGTCTGTCAGGAAGTTTGTTATGTATACACTTTTAGGAAGTGGGTGTATACGTTTGTTAGTACTGAACTGATTTAAAAGAGCGCTCAACTCTAAGAGGAGAAGTGATAAGTCAGTTTAGGACTTCATTAATAATTCAACGTTATATTTCTACTGCTCGCTTTCGTATTCATGGTCAAAGAATGACCACACTCATTGGGAAATTTTAACGATGCAAATATAAGTTTGGAAGTCAAGCATGCTTTCGATCTTTCATACTTGAGTACGAGTGTTCTATAAATGTTCTTGTCATTCATGAAGTTAGAATACTAAAAAGGCAAAATGGTGGAAAATGATAACCAGTACACTGTGGATTAACAGCAAGTGGAAGAGGAAACCAGCTTTATGCTGGAGCCGGTAAGAGATAAAGTTGTATGTTGTCATTATTTTAAGAGCCATTTTCTGAGAAAATCGAGAATCGCAAGACACTCGTCAAAAAATCGAATTTTTTATTATTTTGCCAAAACATCCCTTTTAGTGACCTAATTTAAGGAAAAATAGTTTTGGGTTCAAACGATTCATTTGAAAGGAGAAATTAAAAAAAGTTTGAAAAATCGATTTTATTCCTGTTTTTCGAACAGAACACGGCAGGATGCAATGGCAACTTCGAGAGAAGAGTGAAAGCGTAAGAAACATTCCCTGACACTGAAACTTCACCGAATTATTATTTTGTTCTTACTCTTGAAAACCTTAAAAGAAAATTTGAAAAACAATGTCTTATATTTTTATAATCGACAAGTCTAAAGAGGTCATATTTGTGACGTTAGACATGCTAGAAAACGAAGGCCAACTTTGACTATTAAAAAAGGCCTCTGGTATATGCCGCTTGATCATAAAATCAATATAAAATGGAACCTTGGCTTTTGTACTAACTTACTGGAAAGTTTTAGCTCTGGAAATCAAATACCATCCTGCAACCAAAGCAAGCGGGGAGAGCAATTGAATTGGGAAATTTATGCAAATTAGACGGCTTGCGGACGGTTGTCAAACTAAAAGAAAGGTTTTACATGAAAGGATTACTCACCATTGCTTGTAACACGTTTTTACGGCAAGGAAAGTTATTTCCAACTTCTGTTGCGTCGGTTTGAGTCACAAAATCCATAATTTTAAGCCAAAAGGTCCAAAAGACAAACGTACGTTTGCTCAGCGACTGCGCCAGAATCCGGCCGTGAATCGAAATAAAGTCACAACACGTCACTGCGGTCCTTTGGAAGCAAGAGTTGCAAGAGTTCTTACTTCAGTCAGGAGGCCAAAAGATTGAAAATTCATCGCAAACTAATGACTTCGATTTTGAAAACCTTTCATCACTTCAATCGTTCGTCGGCTGATAATAAACATCGCACAAGATCGTATGACCTTTGGCGTGTGACCGGAAATCGGTCACACGCTTAAGTCACGTTAGCATACTGTCACGAATTTTAATACGATTTTTCACGTTTGCTTTCGACAAAAAATAGACTCATCGAAATAAAATCAGGCCTGCTTTATTTGTTTGTTTGTTTTTTAATTTCTTTTATAGCCTGCAGAACTTGTTCCCCATGCATCGCGCGTGTCTCGCACCCCCAGTCCGCTTCGCAGTGTTATCATGAAAAGCGCAAAAAACTGAAATTGACTCCTGTTCTGCAGTTGATTTCTTTTATAGACACCTTCTAGGCATTGACAGGCTGTGAAAAAAGTGTATTTTTTTTATTATTATTTTTTGAAGTGCTACATCATTTTCCTATAAATTTCAAACGTGACTGCTAAAAGACTGTTTGGAACCCATGGATGGAGAAAAGCTGTGCCGGAGAGAAGGTCAACCTCCCAGCCGAGCCAACTTTTGCGAGCGTTTGTATGAGGAAAAAACTGACCACTTTGTCCGAGTCAACAGTGCTTGCGCATGCTGTCTTTGTCTAGCCTTGACCGTGTCGTCCCAGCTAGCTGGGCGAGCCAAAGTGAAGAAATATTAGCCGGGCTAGAAGGGTGAGGCCACCACTACCGGCTCAGTGGAGGGCTGACTTCCGGAAGCCCTCAACCCCGTCCACTACTGGTAGTAAGGCGTCTATCCGAACCAACCTTTTGTTTCTCATGTAAATGGTTTACAAATTTTGTAAGGAAATGGAGGAAAAGTTGGCTCGCCCAGGGTAGCTTGGGAGGTGAGTAAACACCAGATAACCCCAATAATAAGCACAAACTTTGATTGTCAGTTAGATGTCCACTATTTTAAGTAAGCAACCTGGCATGTGATTGTCGCATCCATGCCCCCTTCCAGATCCCCTTTATTATCGGTAAGCCTCTGATAGGTCAAAGTAATACAGTCGTACCTCCAGTAAGCGACCACCAAAAATGCAAAGACTTAATGGTCTCTAACGGGAGGTGGCCGTTTAGAAGAATCGGACCACATGGGGTCTATTCCGAGAAGAGGTCCGGGCACATTCTATTAAATGGCGGTGTAACAAATTCCTGGCAAAATATTATCTTTTACCTCTTTTGAAAAATACAGCTTTTAAATCATGCTAAATTTAAAGAGGGATTCAGGTGAGTGAGATATAGAATAGTCTAGAATCACAACAGAATCTTCACTTTGTTGGCTACATCTACTAAGTTAGGATATGTGTAGTTCCACGATGTCACTAAAGGTCTTCATATTTTCCAAGGAACATAGTGCACACAGCAAAAATAGAGAGCAGAGAATGCGTCAACTGGTCGCTTATGGAAAACAATTAACCGTGACGCCCAAAAAGTGGTCGCAGTCACTTAGAAAAGTTCGTTTACTGGAGGTTCCAAATATAAGGCTTTGAATGGGAAAATTTGGTCTTTTGGATTGGCGGTCGCACATGGAGGTTCGACTGTGTTAGGTCTATTAGAGTATGAGCCGCCATCACCTCACTGTGAGTGACGAGAGCCAGGAACGTATAGTATACACTCCCTTAGGATGCACAGAATCGTTGTTTTGAGGTCCCGTTTAGCGAAATGGATCATTCAAGGGAGGTGCTGAAGTCCCATAGTGAAATTTATAAGGTTTATGGGTTTTTAGTGCAAGGCGAAACACAATACTTAGGGCCCTGTTGTTCAAACGTTGAACAACAGGAAATCACTATCAAGCGAATAAGAAGAAGCAATTGCGTTACTTATTGGATATAGATTTATCCAGGGGAAAGCGTTAGTCCCGGGGGCGTTAGTCAACTTTTCGAACATACAGCCCCTAAGTCACTCTCCTTCGAAGACTTACCCTGGGCGACCAGGATAGGGGAATATAATACTCGACCTTCCTTGCATCATCGCGAGAGCCTATAGCCTTCACTTTCTTTTGGCTCGTCCTATAATCCTACCCAACGTTCGTGGGACAGGAAAGTCTGCGTGCGAGGCTTGGGAATCTAGGGAGACTATGGAAGCATGGTGCAAATAGCCGGGATGAGCTACTTTGTCCACACGAACCAAGAGGATTGTGTCTGCTAGAAGAAATCAGATGTAGCTTTCCGTGATAAGTAATATTCCAACAGTATAGGATCATAGTTTGAAGCCATTTCACAATCACTAGTTTCCGCGCACCTCTACCGGCGAGTTGTGGACAAAAGCAGCTGATAGCTGTATACGAACCTTTTTTCCACAAAATGGTTTCTGGGTTTTCGTATTCGACAGTGTCATGTATTGATTTTTTTTTAATCTTAATGGAGGTCTTTTTTATTATGTACTGTCTACCTGACTGACTGTTTCTTTTTTTTTTTTTTTTTTTTTTTTTTCTGGTAATAACAGGTTTCATAATTTGGTCGCGGTTGGGGTTATAGGCTCCTGATCGTGAGCAAATAGCGAACACCAAAGTAAACTATAGCGTTGAATCCGTTGGCCACGGAGAACTGGTATTATTCTGCAAGTTCTTTACTACAGCAAGAGAGTATACTCCCTTGACTATGGGACATTGGGCCGGGGGAACTTAGTATTTTGACCCGGCATAGGGGAGGAGGGGAGGGGGAGGAGGGGAGGGGGAGGAGGGGAGGGGGAGGGGGTACCCTGGCCAGATTCCAAGTCACGGGGATGATCGAAGTATGTTTTTTTCTTGGTTTGAAAATATTTTGAACAAATTTTTTTTTAGCTGTGGCTTTACTAAAGTTATCAAAATATTCGTTCTTTTTTGGTCTTGATTTTCGCTTCCACGGGTCACTCACGACACTTGGAATCCGAGGTACCCCTCCTGTTTAGTACTTCGAAGGCAAAAAAGCTGTTTCAAAGCCTAGTAGGTAAATAAAAGAAAAATAAATATACATGGCTGTTTCTACTGCGATGAGGGGAGTTCTTGTCAAAAAATGTGAAAACTGTATTAAAATTGCTGACAACAGCTACGAAAATTTCGCGACAGCATGCTGACGTGACTAAAGCGTGTGACCAATTTCTGGTCACACGCCAAAGGTCATACGATCTTGTGCGATGTTTATTATCAGCCGACGAACGATTGAAGGTATGAAAGGTTTTCAAAATCGAAGTCATTAGTTTGCGATGAATTTTTATTCCTTTTGCCTCCTGACTGATGTAAAAACTCTTGTAACTCTTGCTTCGACGTGTTGGGACTTTCGATTCACGGCCGGATTCGGACGCAGTTGCTGAGCAAACGTACGTTTGTCTTTTGGCTAAAAATCATTTATTTTGTGACTCAAAACGACGCAAAAGAAGTTGGAAATAACTTTCCTTGCCGTAAAAACGTGTTACAAGCAATGGTGAGTAATCCCGTCATGTACAACCTTTCTTTTTAGTTTGACAACCGTCCGCAAGCCGTCTAATTTGCATAAATTTCCCAATTCAATTGCTTTCACCGCTTGCTTTGGTGTCAGGATGATATTTGATTTCCAGAGCTAAAACTTTCCAGTAAGTTAGTACAAAAGCCAAGGTTCCATTTTATATTGATTTTATGATCAAGCGGCATATACCAGAGGCCTTTTTTAATAGTCAAAGTTGGCCTTCATTTTCTAGCACGTCTAACGTCACAAATATGACCTCTTTACACTTGTCGATTATAAAAATGTAAAGCATTGTTTATCTAATTTTCTTTTAGGATTTTCAAGAGTAAGAACAAAATAATAATTCGGTGGAGTTTCAATGTCAGGGAATGTTTCTTACGCGTTCACCCTTCTCTCGAAGTTGCCATTGCATCCTGCCGTGTTTTGTGCGAAAAACGAGCATAAAATCGATTTTTCAAACTTTTCCTAATTTCTCCTTTCAAATGAATCGTTTGAACCCAAAACTATTTTTCCTTAAATTAGGTCACTAAAAGGGATGTTTTGGCAAAATAAAAAAAAATTCGATTTTTTGACGAGTGTCGTGCGATTCTCGATTTTCTCAGATAATGGCTCTTAACACTTTTTTCAACACTTTTGCCATCCTTTACAAATTCATTTGAAATTCTTGCCTGGAAAACGGCATTTGTTTCCCATTTTGCACACTTTAAGAATTCAACGAATTAATCATTCTCATTCCTTAGTTGTCAAAGTAATTATCGTGGTAAGAAGGAGCATCTCTCTCAACCCCCCCGACCTTCATGTCCACCTATCCTTGGCCTTAAGAGCTCTAGAGAGCTGGCAAAAGTCACTGTTTTTGTACCCACGATGTTAAACCGGCATGCTTTATGCTTAGACTTTAAAGCCTTCTTTTCTATTGCCAAACAATTAATTCTTTAGTTGTGTTCTTTGAAGGTGACAGTGCGAAACGGAAAAGTGCCGAGCAAGACGGAAAAGCCAAAAGCGTTTGGTTTGTCTTACCTTGCAATTGTCAACGAACATCTCCCATGGTATCTTTGCATATGGTTGGCTATATAGATTTTCTTTGCTTCTTTTAACCACTTGGTCTTCGGATTCGCCTAGATTAATTGGTGACTACAGTATTTCTCTTTTTTCAACATTGTTCCTAATGTTTTCAGCATTTCCTTACCATGCTTGGATCAACATTGCCGATTCCCTTCATTTTACAAATTCCCATGTGTTTTCAAGGCAACAAACTTGTCATTAGTGAAATCCTGAGCACTATATTCTTCGTATCTGGAATTGCTACATTGTTACAGACTACGTCTGGTGTCAGGTTAATATTTTTTTTTTGCTGTAATTTTTTAATTGTGAGCAAGAGCAAGAGAAGTTGAAGCCACGGGGACAGATTATTGTTACGACAATGCTGAAAAATACGCTTTTGGCTTAATAACGAGGAAAGAAAATAATCGTGCTCCACGTGCTGCTAACGAGCACGTGTGGAATGCAGAACACATTCAGTGTACAAAGTCGTTCTCTGCAAAACAATAACCAATTTAAGATTTTGACAAAGAGGCGAACATACAACAGTGAATCGTGCACTTCGAAATCCAGATGTGTTGGCCAGAACGAAACGTAGCAAAGAGAAGCACCGGATTCCGGTGAAGGATATGATCAACAGTTACAGAGAAATGCAAACGAAAAAAGCAAGGCTGATCAAATAATGAACAGAATATATATGTATTATTCTAACTAACATTGCGAAAGGCATAGCCTCTCTTCAACATAATGTTTCAATGAGTTGTTGAACTATGAAAGTTGCGATAGCAATTTAAACTTTGTTTTATAGTTGTTTACTTATATATCGTTTCAGCTCTTTCAATCAAAGATAATTTAAATTGTTTCAGGCTTCCAATTATTTTATATTGCTCAAGGAGGAGGTTCCTTGGCTTTTGCTGGTCCAACTTTTTCCATATTGTCCCTGCCGCAGTGGAAATGCCCAGACTGAGTGGTAAGCTTACATCGATAAAATCTTATTTGCATTCAGGGACTCTTAAACCATGTTAGATTTCGTCTATGCAAGAAATACAAGAAAACAAGTCTTGAAAAAACACCTGATACGAGAAAAATGAGAGAATTAAAAAGAAATCTGCCAATAAGGCTATTTTTGGACATTTTGGCGAGTGGTTACGAAAATCAGTTCTACGAAACTTGCACTTGTACTAAAGAAAATACCTATGGCACTGGATTTGCATAATGACAAGAAATGCATGCACTCTCTTAGAAACACTTAGCCAATGCTCAGAAGGATTGTGCAAGTTATTTTGTCTCCCACTCTGTACATGCTGATGCGTATTGACACAAAATACATGGCATTTTTGCATACGCATTTGTTGGATGAAAGGAAAATAGAATCGGCCATCTCCTAATAAATATTGCTCGCCTTTTTTTTTTGCTTCCAACAAAAATTCCAAAGGCCTAATTTGTACTCATGGACATCGTAAACTATGTTAGATTTATTCTATGCAATAAAACCTCTTCTAAAAACGGCTAATAGTAGAAAAATGGCAACATTTAGAAAAGTGGTAAAAATGGCCTCTTTTGAAAAGTTTTATTTTGCATTTTTTCAATCCCACTGATGTTGACCTATAATGTTTGTATTTTCCTAGACACTGGTAACTCGACTGGAAGCTCTGACATCGACTTAACAGAAGTCTGGCAAGTCCGTAGGAGATAGGTAACTTATTCGTGCTGAGACGTAACTGTTTCAAGATCGTCATCATTTCACAACCATAAGCCACCACAGCTGTCACCTCCACCACCCCCTCCGGGTGCTCGTATATTTTCACCCAGAAAAGTCAAAGCAAGCAAGGTCATCAGGCCCGCGGTCTGACTGCTATCTTGTGTATGCAGAATGAAATGGCAGCTATGAGCAGCTGTTTCGGTTTTGCTAGGACTCATCAGCATGGGAGACATTCATGCAGTTTACGTAATTGAGGGAAGGGGACCGCTGGGAACAACAAGGCATAACAAATAGTCCCCGGGGAGTAGGGTTGGGGATATTAAAGGAAACAAGTGTCTAGTATGATAAACATTACACTAATTTGTAAATATCCACTGTAGATTCAAGGAGCCGTAATGGTGACAGGATTGATTCAGATTGTGATTGGTTTCGCCGGTGTTGTTGGGTTTTTCCTTCGCTTTATTGGCCCTCATCTGGTTGTGGGATCGATACAACCCCTTACGGTGAAAACATTGGAGCCATTGGAATGACGACGGAAAAAACCGGTCCTTTATTAGTTTGGAAGCTTTTATGCTAGTGTACTGTTAAGTTAATTTCAACTATTTCCTTGTTAACCTCTCATTCATATCTACTCGGGTTGGAAGTCTCCGCCTGGTTCTTGTTTATGATCTTCGGCATGCTTGGTAAATTTGGTGCGCTGTTTGTAACCATTCCAGACCCTATCATTGGTGGAGTTTTCATGGTCATGTTTGGAATGATCACTGCTGTTGGAATCGCGAATCTGCAGTATGCTGACATGAATTCCTCCAGGAACGCGCGCATCGTCGGATTTTCTCTTGTATTTGGATTGGCTCTTCCATACTATATGGAAGATCATATGGACGCAATTTAGACAGGTATAGGAGTTTGGATTATAATGGACAGTAAATTAGCTCAAACATTACATTTATCGATGTACTTTAGTGTTTGAGTTCACAAACAATTCATATTTCTATCTCAGACACATATTGCCTTCAATCGAATTTCAATGGCCTCTTTTCTTCGTCGTAGGTGTTGATGAGATCGAGCAGATCGTCAGTGTGTTATTATCAACAAGCATGGCGGTGGGATGTGTTGTTCCATTGATTCTGGATAACACTATCCCGAGAACAATCAAGGAAGGTAGACTAACGGGATGGGGGGGAAATCCCGCGACTGATGAACCGGTTGACGAAAAGTACGAAGTTGCTCCCATTGAAGTGTATATATAATCTGCCATTTGGTCTGCATCGCCTCAGTAAGTTCGGAATTGCCAAGTATTTGCCATTCTTGCCTTATCCATACGACAATGGTCAAGACCAAGATGAAAAACATTAAGATCCGCTTTTGAATGATAAGCAACGCCAACGGAATGGACAAGTTGTTCACGAACGGAGTAACACAACAAATCGTTATGATTCACCAGATTATTTCAAATTTAATTTGTGAAGCTTGAATGCTTATTTAGATTGCTCGACTTTCAATTGACGTTTCTAGGTTATAACTCACGGATAGTTAGCGCTGTACGAAAATAAAATGTAATAAAATTGTAGGCTTGGTAAAGTAATCAATTGCGTAACTCCCGTTTGTTTCCTCATTATCTGATATGCTTGCAAAATAAAAGTTATATTTGTTTTCAACCATGTGTATTTGATACGAAAAGGATTGGGTGGACGAAAAACACAACAATTGTGCTGAGAATTTAACGAAAAATTTGCAGAAAGCATGATTATGATCTAAGATTCACGCTTGTTTCAATTCTAAGATTCTTTAGTAGCGATAACTTAACCTAATGACGTCGGATACACACGTTGAAGGGTCTTCTTATTCTTTTACTCGACTGGACTGGATCCAATATGAGCTGAAGGCTACAGTATTTGTATCGGAACCATTTCCCGTGCAAAGAAGCAAGAATTAAGAACTGGACCGTCTGACAACATCACGGATTGCTTTCAGGCCACATGAATGAATGATAACTTTATTTAAACACTGTTTTACATATTTGCCGTGTAGGAGTACTAATCAGAAAGCCATCTATGGGAACTTCTCTTAAAGAAACCTAAGGAATTTGATGTACGGTATTTCCTCAGGAAGATTGTTCAATAGAAGAGCGCCACTGTAACTGAAACTACCCTTCAGGTAATCAGTTCTTGGTTTTGGGAGCATGATTTTTTTCTTGGCGTTGCGAAAATAGTAATTCGGTGTTCTTGGGGCAAACAAATTACAGAGATAAGCTGGGGCAAGATTATTAATGCACTTGTACATTAAATTAGCCTTTTGTTTAGCCCCTCTAACAGATAAATTGTCCTAACCAAGCGAGTTAAGAAGAAATCTGGAACTAGTATCATAGCTAGATTTGGTGATAACTCTGATAGCACGATTTTGAAGTGTTTGAAGTTTCTCACTAAGCTGTTGGGTCAAGCCATCCCATACAGCGCTGCAATAATCAAAGTGTGGCTCGATAGGACCTTTGTATATTTTAATTGCAGTGAGCATTAAAACAAATGGCCTGACCCGCTTAAGAGCACCTATACCAGAGGATACTTTTTTAGAGATTTCATGAATGTGGGCCTTCCACGGGAGATTTTCATCAATGATAAGCCCGAGAGATTTGCTTTGATTGCTTTGGTTTATTGGAACGCCGTCTATATGAATATTCATTGTGTAGTCATTTAAGGGCTGTAATTTCTGCCTCGAGCTAATAACCATAAACTCTGTTTTGGCGACATTGAGATCAATATATTTCAGGTCACTATTGATTTGGGACTCAAGATCAGGTATAGTAGCTGCTGAAAAGAAATTCTTAAGAAATTCTTAAGACAACCTTACGTATAGATATGAAAATAGATACACGTTGTCCAACGAATTTTGAGGAATTTTCCTCTTTTTTCTCCTGACAACTAAAGTTGCAGCGTTTACTTCAATCATTTTCAAACATTTTAAAAGTGTTTCTTTAATTTCTCCTTCTCTCAGTACGACAAGATTTAAGAATAATGTCTTTGCAAGTGGATGTGACCTTATGAAATGCATGAAGATTGTGAAGATCAAACCATCGAACCAAATCAAATCGTTCAAAGATTTCAAGATACATTTCAAAGTTCAAGATTGCATATCACTAACATAACAACAGAGAAAGAAATATCATTAACATAACAACAGAGAAAGAGCTCGTTGTGGGTTTCACCCTGGGAATAGGACAATCTACTGCGTGTCATTTTCCTAAAAAAATTTAACTTCAAGAAACCCTTTTTGGGGGCAATTTTACTTGCTGTGTTTATTTTTGTAATTTGTTGTCTTTTTCTCGACAACTTTCTCTAAAGAAACCTTAATTGTAAGAGCGAACAGATTCAATCAATGATGATCACTAGTCATAACAAAACGAAATAAATCCTTGTTATAAACATTTACAGTTTCCTTTATTTTGATAGGACAAAAATAGACAAAAGGGTGTTCAAATTTACGTGCAATAATAATGATACCGCACAGACCTGACCTGAGGCATAAAGTAATTGCATGAATAGAGATCAATATTTCAAATATAAGAAGTTCATAATTAAACTTCGACAAATACCTGACTTTCCGTACAAAATATATAAATGGTCGATAGCGTGACATCGATCGTTGCGCAATCCTTCTTTGCATTATAAAGAAGGTCGCTGTTGTTTGTCCTCTTAAAATCATAAACTACAGTATGACTCTTTCGTTCATTTTGGTGTCAATTGAAAGTCGGCATGTTGTAACATTTATCACGGGAAGTTACAAGGTGTGTTCTGAAAATTTCGAGAAATTGCACTTGTATGTGATTCCTTCATGTCGTTTCAATTCATGAGAGACCGACATAAAATTTCTCCTCACAATACTGTAGAAAAAATGATTAAGAAAGGTTATAAGAAATTGCAAAAAGATCTCGTGCAGAATCAATTCGTTTTGTAAACGGATTCTCCAAACTACTGGGAGCCTGACTTCGCCGCATACTTCCGCGTAACTTCATCGAAAAACATTTCTCGAGATAACAGAAGGCATGAAAGTTAGCCAGGAGAATTTAGTCAGGTCACGATTTGACTTAGTCTCCCACGCAAACGTTCTTAGGGGTTTGTCATGCGTTCCTGCCCCACGAACGTCTGCTGACTGACGTCTGCTTAATAGCTCCAGAAAAGGTCAGAAAGGCCTCATCAAAGGTGGAGGTTAGATTTGACTGTGTTTGGCTTCTTGGCAGCAATGACAAAGTGTCAGTTGTCGGCCGAATTATAATCCCATTTGATCGCTGTCGGAATTTTTAGCAAAATCGTAATCAATCTGAGCAACCATGATGTAAGCAAACCAGTCATTCGTGGTTACATACTGAGTACTTTAAAACAATTTCTCATGGGAAATTTGAGAAGAAACTTTTCCGATCAACGTTCTTAAAAATTTTCGTTTCGCAACTTTGAAATCGTTCTCCGTGCATTGCATTAAACACTATTTCGACCACCATTCGTGTGTGAGGAAATACCTGGGTAGTCAGTAAGTGAACAATAGAGGCACTAATAAATTAATCTGAATGATATACCCTTTGAAAACGGTTTTATGTGTTACGGTTTAGTTATTGTGAAACTTCATCCACCCGTGATTGTGAGAAGATTATATTCTCTAAAGCAGTTTCCTCTAAGTTTATACATTTTTGTTTTAAGTGGGACCATAAGTTACTGTTTACGACTGCTTTGAAGAAAAACGTTTATTAAGGTGAGTGGAATGCCGTTAGTTGAATAATTGAGCCTTCACTTTTAGCTGAGGCAAATCCTTGCGTGTCCTAAGATGTAGATTGCAGCCGCCACCCGTTTATATCTGTTTATAACGTTAGAGCTTCGTGGATGTAAGGATGCGAAATGAAATAACAGTGAAAAGAGGATTCACTGGGTGCGGCGGCCATGGAGGGAAATGGTTTCAAAAGGGAGAAGAACCTCGTGTAAGAGTCATTTTTCACCGAATGAAACCGTCGCTAACCATTTCGTATCATTTTGCGGATTCTTTAATTTTAATTTTCTAATACTATTTACTAAGCATTCATAAAACAGCCACTAATTGAGCTTAACGTTTCTTCAACATAAGTTTGCATTTTGAGAGGGATGATGAAGAAGTATGTTAACTTCGGGTGCGTTTCTTTGGGAAAATCCGAAAACGGATCATTGATTCAAGATCGTTTGGACCACGGTGCATCAAAGGAACCGATGAATCCACCTGGAAAAGGATTCTTCGGTTTGTTTGATGCACTGTGATCCAAACGATCTTGGATCAATAATCCGTTTTCGGATTTTCCCAAAGAAACGCACCCTTCGTCAAAGCCTTTTAAAAGGTTTTCCGCCATGCTCAATCAACCTTGCCCTTCATTTACTGATGTTTTGAACGATCGAAATTTCGTTTCATTCGTATTATTGAGTCATTGTATTGATGCCCGAATTTGTCAACAATTTTATCCAAATAAAACATTTTGGAATAATGGCATGATCTGGGAGAAGACTGCAGTCGTTTGTGCTTTTGAGGAGGAAATCCATTATGGAAATTTGCACAAAACATAATATGAAAGTCAAAAACACTTTCATGATAAACAAAAGTCAGATTGTCCATTTAAGTTCATTAGCACAAGCTTGTGAATAAGACAAACATGCAATTCAGTCGTTAAAATTTGCAGGCGATATTGCAAGCGTTTGTGAGTCCCGGGGAATGGTTTAGGCTGGATAAACGCGAAAAAGCAATCGTGTGCATGACGATGTGGATGGACAGATTCGCTACCAGCATGCATGTTAATTTGCAAATGTAACATCATTCTCAGTTGTGGGAAGCTGTCAAATAACTGGACCAGTCAAAAACGTGAATCATGCGATAAAGGCAAGGAAATACCCTTACCCGAAGGAAAATAAAAAAAATAATTACTTTTAACTAGAGATGAATTCGAAATTCCTTCGCGTTGGCCGGGGTCGGATTCGTGGTACATCGAATTCGCGCAAAATTCAATTTGGCGGTGCCTTTGCATCATCATTAAAGTTAACAATAGAAAGCCATTGCACTGAAGGTTGCAGCAGGAGCAACAAGTGAGTGTAGAAGTGCATTAATCGCCAAAACATGTGGTTTGCCAGCGTTTTTCTTGTTTATGTGCTTACCGACCATTCAACAATCTTGAGAAAGTGCACCCCGGGATGGCGGAGTTGTAAGATTGGATGTAAAGGAGGGTTATTTTTTTACCCCACTTAAGCAGGTTACCACGCCTACCTGGGGTCCCCCACCTCCACGTAAACAGGCCCTTAGAAATATTTGTAACTGAAAGACACTATTTACACGCGTCCAGCAGAGCGTTCCAGGTGTGGCAGAGTTACCGTTCATAATGGCGTCACCTAAGGGGGAAAAATTACGCTATTAACCACATTTGGTTACAAATGATTGCAATCCACGTACATCTTAAACCAAACCGTATTGAAATAAAACACAGGTATTAAGTGTATTACAACAGGTGAAAAGTTATGTTTCTAAAGAAACAGTGGTGTCGCATCGGTGAGGAAGTGAAACCACAGAAATTTGGCATCAGACAAGTTGATGAGGGTCAAATTTCTACCTTAAAAAGATTGCGAAGCTGGCGTTTTGAGCGATTCATTGGTTAGCTTCGTAACAGTTTGATCGTTATCAACTCGTTTCGGCTGTCAAATTTTCGTGTAAAGGGTATTATGTTAGAGATAAGCATTTTAGATTTTCCATGATATCCAGCATGTTTTGGATCAATAACTCTGCACGTTGAATAAAAATTAATTATGTGATAATGACTCAACAAAATTCGGTATGATCGAGGCATTTGTCTTGAATGGATGACTTATTCTTCATAGTTAAGAGACACTTACAGTGACTCGGGAGGGGGGGGGAGGGGGGTAAGATAGTAATTTTGTGTACATCCATCTCCACACAAATCCCTAACCACAAAACAAGCAAGAAAAACGACATAAGCAACACAGTAAACATATGTCAAGCTATTAGACAGGGGAAGTTGAGAAAAATTACAAAATGTTTAATTTGCTATAACCCAGTTTTCATAACTCCAGGTAGATTTTATTGGCCTGATTTTTAATTGATAGCTGTTGAGTAGTTTGGTATACTTTGATTGGAATGGAAACCTTAGCATAGGCGGGCGCTAACAAGAAACTATTTGGCGCTCCACAACGTTTCAAAACATCTCTTGTATAAAACAATTGAAGACGCGCAGGGAATAAGTAAGTGACTGACAAAATGTCGTCTTCGTTTGTTCAGCTCCAGCTATGATACGAAGAAGACGATTCAAGTTTCAACTGGGATTCGCAGCTCTTTTGGTACTCTGCTTTTTCAGTTGGCGCCGAGACGATGCAATCAGTGAGACTGCAGAAAAACCTATGAATGTAGTTAAAGAGGTCTCAGGTACGTACAGAATATCACCACAACTAAGAATGACATGTGCGTTCTGTTATGGTTGAGGTAGTTAAGAGGGACATTTGATCTTATAAGTCTCACCCGCGGGATTATACCTGTGAGTTCCCGGTTAGGAAACTGGCGCTATTTTGTCATTGGCTAGCTTGGGACTAATCAATTAAATGATATATTCGGATCTCACATTTAACATTTCATTTCGCATTTCACTTTCCATTCCAAATTTCTTATTTCATTTCACGTTTCATTCCTCGTTTTATCCTACCGATGTACATTAATATTAAAATAGAGGGGAAAAAATTGGATCTCTGGATGTCATCTTGTTGTAGTAAGGAAAAATACAGCTCTTTTACTTACCTTATTATAGGAAGTTAACGCTCCATGAAATTAAGGTATTGGAAATTAACGCGACTTAAATTAACGCGAAAAACGACTTTCGAATAAAGAAAATTAACGCGAAAGAGGAGGTAGAATTTAATTAAGGAAATTAACGCGATTAAGACAGTTGGTGGTGACAACTGGAACAAATTTATTTCAACACTGGATGTAAGCAAATTCAAAACTGAACAAAACTGAGCTGACATCACTTCTGACAGCGACAACGATGATGATGAACACGAAATATTGGAAACCTTCGCCTTAGCTTTTTCAAGAATGACAAAAACCATGCAAAAATAAAGGGTAAATGAAAACGGAAATTTGTTTGGGGAAAGATAAAGCTCACCGCTTTGTTTGTTCGATCCTTTATAGAAAACACTTTTGTGTGTTCGTGTTTTAATATGCCTGTCTACATATCAGCTACTGGCCTACGTTCTACTTTTTTTTTTAAACCTGGTGTTAACGCGGCCAAAAGGTAAGCAAAATGGTTGTGTTTCTTTGTCAGGTTAATCGCATTAAGAACATTTTTAGGTGTCAAAAAGAATGTAGCTGAACTCAGACATTCGGTATGTGAAACTTTTACGGTGATTGCCTGACTGACCACCTAAGACTACTGGCTTTTGCTGCGAAACTTTGCACCAGTTCTGGTGTGAAACTTTACGGTGATTGCCTGACTGACCACGTACGACTACTGGCTTTTGCTGCGAAACTTTGCACCAGTTCTGGTGTGAAACTTTTACGGTGATTGCCTGACTGACCACCTAAGACTACTGGCTTTTGCTGCGAAACTTTGCACCAGTTCTGGTGTGAAACTTTTACGGTGATTGCCTGACTGACCACCTAAGACTACTGGCTTTTGCTGCGAAACTTTGCACCAGTTCTGGTGTGAAACTTTTACGGTGATTGCCTGACTGACTGCGTACGACTACTGGCTTTTGCTGCGAAACTTTGCACCAGTTCTGGTGTGAAACTTTTACGGTGATTGCCTGACTGACTGCGTACGACTACTGGCGAAACTTTGCACCAGTTCTGGTGTGAAACTTTTACGGTGATTGCCTGATTGACTGCGTACGACTACTGGCTTTTGCTGCGAAACTTTGCACCAGTTCTGGTGTGAAACTTTTACGGTGATTGCCTGACTGACCAACTAAGACTACTGGCTTTTTGCTGCGAAACTTTGCACCAGTTCTGGTGTGAAACTTTTTACGGTGATTGCCTGACTGACCACCTAAGACTACTGGCTTTTGCTGCGAAACTTTGCACCAGTTCTGGTGTGGAAACTTTTACGGTGATTGCCTGACTGACCACGTACGACTACTGGCTTTTGCTGCGAAACTTTGCACCAGTTCTGGTGTGAAACTTTTACGGTGATTGCCTGACTGACCACCTAAGACTACTGGCTTTTGCTGCGAAACTTTGCACCAGTTCTGGTGTGAAACTTTTACGGTGATTGCCTGACTGAACACGTGCGAAACTTTGACCAGTTCTGGCTTTACGGTGATTGCCTGACTGACCACCGTAAGACTACTGGCTTTTGCTGGTGAAACTTTGCACCAGTTCTGGTGTGAAACTTTACGGTGATTGCCTGACTACGACTACCTACGACTACTGGCTTTTGCCTGACTGACTACCTACGAAACTTTTGTGGTGATTGTCTGACGACATACCATTATGGCTTCTCGACCACAGAAAAAATGAGTGAGTAAGATCAAACTCAGGATGACAAGCTCTTACTAGTGCGGAGAAAAATACTACAAGAACACGTTATCAGTCTGGCTTTAAAAAGTAAACTGTTGCCATAGCGTATTTGAAAACATGGACAGTATTGTTTTTTTTTTTTTACCGCAACAGAAAGGTCCTTGTTTGTAGTCAGGCGTTTACGTAAATGACGAAAGAGGAAACCATCCTCCCCACGTTGAAACTCGAGTTAAAGACCGCAAACGTTACCTTACTTTGTGGGTTCGTGGTTTTCAGCCGTAGTGGTTAGAAGTTTCCAACGGAAAGCCTGTTTACTCGAAACTTTCTATTAGTTCTGGTGTAGACTTTTGCGGAGTAACAGTAGGCACGGCATACAATGCTGGCGATAAGCATGTGTCTACACTGAATTTGGGGTGATTTTGCAGAGGAGACCACACGTGGATCGAGCTTACTCGTTATGTTGTTTATTCTTAAAATTTTATTTCGATTATCGTTGGAAAAAAGTTGGCCTTAAGTCGACTTTTTTTATCGTTCGGGATCTTCCTTTTTGGAAAAGTTCAAGTCCACATTCCAAAACCTTAACTGAATGTCTTTAGTTGTTATGTTATTGTTATGAGGGATGATCATCTTTTTTTAAACGGGTTAAACACGCTTTTCTTTTTTATATTATGTAAATTTGATAAAACAGACAAACTGTTGGGGATCTTCTGCTACCGCTGGCTTTTATCGTTTACCTGGCTGGGAAAGACTCAAGACTACTCCTCAAGTCCAATCACTTTAAATTTGACGTAAAAAATGTTCGTTGGAAAATGTATTAAATGAAACTTTCCTGAAGAATGTCTGGACAGGATCCAAAACTGGGGTTAAAATACTGGAAATTAAGAGCGCGGAATTTAACGATGCACTTAATTAACGTCGCGGAAATTAACGCTCAACAAAATTAACGCGACTTAAATTAACGCGAATTTCAACGAATTTCAACGATTCGCGTTAATTTCACGAAGTGTTAATTTCCTATAATAAGGTAATATTCTGTTTCATTTCAGATGGATCATTCACTGGAAGACATCCTCTCGTTCACGAGACAAACGATGCCAGAAACTGCAGCCCACCATCAATCGAGGAATTTCCGGGTGATTTGTTCAACCAGCGTGAAAGGCGACTTGGTGCAGTCGTTATTCATTTTCTGGTTGCATTTTATACATCCTGGGCCATAGCTATTGTCTGCGATGATTATTTCGTTCCTTGCTTGGAGTTGATTTCTAATAAGATGAAACTTCAATCTGATGTGGCCGGTGCTACTTTCATGGCTTTTGGTAGTTCAGCTCCCGAACTATTCGCCTCAATCATTGGTGAGTTGTAAGAGTTTATGTATTTCTTACGCTTTTGATGCACGATATTTACTGTCAGGGGTTCACAAATGCCAAGTGCATAAACAGGCCTAAACTCGCTCCCGGGGTTTTCGCGGCGTCCAACATGGTGGCCTGTTGCCCACCACCCACTCGGTGGAGAAAGCGCTGGGAAGGAGATTGCTGTAGAAACTAGGAGATATAGTCCGAGCTAGAAGTGCAAAAAGGCAGCTAAGGAAATATTTAGGCAGATATGGACCGCTGAGTAGACAAACATGCAACTACAGATTATTCACAAACTTCCAAATACGCTTAAATATTATGCACATGTGTACTAGAGACCCCGGGAAGCTCTCGCAGTTTTGATAACGAAGGGAAGTTTTTGCAAGTGTGACTCTACACCTTAGAAAAGATTTAATGACAAATTTCTGCTTTCTAATCATAGGTGTCTTCATCACAGAAGGGGACATTGGGATCGGCACCATCTTAGGCTCAGCGGTATTCAACGTGCTGTTCGTTATTGGAGCATGTGGCGTAGGGGCTGGAACGGTAAGAACATGACCAGGAGAGGATAACCACGTGATTTATAGCGTTTTCACGGATCGAGCTATTTCAAGACTGGCTCCGGATCGATGGATTAACTATTGACCCCTAAGGAACTAATCAATTATGCAAGCCTTCTGATTGGCTGGGAAGGACTTTGCGTCAGTCGAAAAAAGTGCTCAGTCCGTGAATTCGTGTAAAATTTTAATCTTCTGCTCTCGTAAATATTTTCTTTGCAGGATTTAATTCACAAATAATTGTAAACACTGCCCACCTCGACCAGCTTTTGCTAACTGCGGGCATATCCAAGAAATGCTTCTTATTTTCTAATTTTCTATTAAAATAGAAATTAAAAATAAAAAATTCAAATTCGCTGTGACATAAATCTTTGGAAGCAGTACCCTCCTGCTCACGGACTCCTGGCATGACCCTATCCCGTCAACAGACCTCTTTAACTTGTACATTTTGTTTTCCCAAACTAGACCACGTGAGGGTGTTTATGTTGTGGACGTGTGTATGCTTGCACGCTTTTTGAAATATCACGTGCTGTGAATGGAGAAAACAAAATGAACAAGCTGCAGCTGTGTTAGTGAACACTACAGACAGGATTGCAATGTTAAAATGTATATCCCTGCTTACTGGTTTACCAACAATTAATTGCTGATTTAAAACATTTTATGAGCCCATTCTTAGAAGTGTCCAGAAGCGAAGAGCAGACGAAGCTAAGGACTATTTTGTTCTTGCTGTTCCTATTTTAGGAGGGGAGGGGGTGGGGCTATTATAACGTCACATACAAGCGTTAACAACGCTGCATGTGCATCACATTTTGTTACCTTCGTCCTTCAAAAAAAACTGTTTGGTTCAACCCGAGATGTTCTAAAAAGAAAAGGCGTATTAGACTTTTAGGTGACATATGCTTTCAAGAGCGCATGTTCCGAACGAAAAATAAATGATCATAATGTAGAGATTTGAAGAAGCAACTTCAACTGAGCAATTTCGTCGTTAACCTACTTCGTCTAACTTGTGTGATGTATCCACGATAGGTTTTGTATTTAGCATGGTGGCCTCTCGTCAGAGACAATATGTTCTATCTCTTCAGTGTTGTCATTCTCATCTTGGTGCTCATAGATAGCATTGTAACCTGGTGAGTGTTTTATCTTCATGTAACATTAATTTTTAGTCCCTTTGGCTACTGAGGGTTGGCGCAGTGGCGAGGGCAGTTGCTTTCCATCAACGTTGCCCCGGTTCTATTCTGCCCTCGACACTTGTGTGAGATAAGTTTGTTGGCTCTCTACTGCGCTCGGAAAGCTTTTTTTCTCTCTCTCTCTCTCTCCCTCTCTCTCTCCCTCCCTCAATATTCCTGTTTTTCACTCTCAAATAAGAAGCAGCATTTGATTTGAATTGATTTGTAGTCTCTTCAGTTAACCACTTGACTGGCCCGCACAGCCAAGACTTAAATAAAGAGACAAGCGTCAATAAAGAGGATGCTTGTGACGTCAAGGCAGCTATATTGGTGAACCTCAACCTCCTCGGGTTTTCCCCCGGAGAGGCGGAAAAGCCCTGGGAACGAGGTTGTTGTTTTTTGCTTTTTTTTTTCTCAGGGACTGTCTCGTGACAAATTTGACTAGAAGCTATTGTCGAAGGATTTGATATGATGTAATATGTACCCGCTAGAAACTAATTTCTTGTATTTCGGAGCAGGGAAATCATCTCGGTGAAAAATCCGAGCATATTTTTTTTTAAAACATCAATGAACTTAATGAAATTTAGCTAAGCTTTTTTTTTGTGATTTCTATTTATTTCGCAGGCCAGAGGCATTGGCCATGTCGTGTTCCTATTCCATATATTTAATCATTATGTACTTCAATCCCCGAATTGAGGCCTGGCTTTATAAAATAACCAATACGAACAGTCCTGAGTTTAAATCCGATCTACACGCTTCAATCGGCATCAAAGCAAACAACTATGGATACCAAAAGATTGCTGATGAAGAACAGAGCCACAGCGAAGGAAAAGAGAAGAAACCACTTAGTTCTAATGAACAGACAAACTCTGCAAAGGAGACGCCTGAAGAGAAAGGAGATGGAAAAAAGAGAGAGAAACAACAAGAAGAAAGGAAAGAGGACTGTGGGGAAAAACAACCACTAAAGGGTAAAGTTTACAATGTTATTGGGAATCGGAAACGACCAGGAAGTGTCCTTCAAAAACAGGAACAGGATAGAAGGTCTCTTTTTGGGGAAAGCTTTGACGGTGGATTTTTTGTGCTTTTGATAGTTCGATTTTCGTGATAAGCGGCTCAAATAGTGAGATCATAAAGATCTCGTGTTTCAAGAGTTTTTCCTCAGAAATGCTTGCAATAATATGCATGCAGACATCAATTAGCGTAACAAAGTGTCCCCTTACACTTCGGGTCCATTTCAACATCACTTATAGCAAGAAATGCTGACAATAACCGCCATAAAGTGTCTTCTTAACTAAAAAAAAAAGAGGTTATCCCAATCCTTACTTAAAACAACCTTAAATCAAACGATAAACATATATTGTTATGGGGTAAATTGCGCGTGGACTTAGCAGGACACTTTATGGCGTCAACACCGATGACCACACCACGGGGCTGGTGTGACGTGTGTCCACCTTGTTTTTAGTCTTTTTTCGATCTCTTATATTTACTTCTGTTTCTTCCCAAAGGTGTAGTCTTCTTTCGTTATGGTTCCCCCGGATTTGTTTTGTAGTTTTTCAAATAAGAGGAGTATGTGCGCTCGCAGAAACTTAAATTTAACGCCTTTTGTTTTTACAGGAGACGGTTTAAAACACCGACCCGTCCCAGATCTCACGCTAGGGACGCCATTTAATCCTCCGGAGGGACTGGCGGCTAGATTTTGCTGGTTCCTTGGCCTTCCAATCAACATAGCATATTTTTTCACCATCCCAGATGTGAAGAAGGAATCTTGCCAGAAGTGGGTGGCCGTTTCTTTTATAGTTTGTATTGTTTGGATTGCAGTCTCGTCTTATACCCTCGTTTGGATGGTTACTATTATTGGATATACATTTGAGATCCCGGATGCAGTCATGGGACTTACACTAGTCGCTTTTGGAAGCAGCGTACCAGATTGTTCGTCAAGTCTGTTCATCGCACAAAAAGGTAAGCTATGTTATCATTCCAGTTGCAATTGACCATAAAACACACTGTACTACAATGGCAACAAGACTTTCGCATAAATGTCAACTAGATCGCAGAACTCATCTCGAGAGAATTAATTTACGTCCCACACGACCGTATCAGTAGAAGATATTAAAAACCTTCAGTCAGAACGCAAGACATGTGCAGTGTAGACGTTTGTTGGAGTACGTGCATTTTCTTAAGTTTGTTTCGCCACCATACAGGCGAAGGCTGTAGAGAAAGAGAAATGTTTACCAAGGGAGCTGGCGAAAGGCGATGGGAGTGGGTGAGAGTATTTTCTCTCGCCTTGCCCAATATCCGCTATCCTCAAATACATCATGACAACGCGTTAAACTATAAAACAACTGTAAGATATCTGGCCTCGCTTGAAAATACTTTGTTTCATAATGTTTTCAAACTGCACGCAAAAGAAGCATCCACATTCATTTACCCATTACCCCCCTCTCTGGGTTTTGATCTATCTCCAGTTGCAGCTATTGAATCTGGGAGAAAGCTGATTGAGAAATGATACGAATTTAGTCGAAATTCCCAATGATTAAAGCTGACTTTGTAACAGAGGTTCGTCAGTTAATTGCGAACCACGTGGGGGATTGCAAGGGGGGGGGGGGACATAATTCTTCTCTTTTACCTTTTACCTCCATTGTGGAGCTTTCCCCAGTTCGAAAGTTCTGATTTTCTTTTTTGTTCTCTCTCAGGTGACGGCGACATGGCGGTGTCAAACACCGTGGGAAGTAACACATTTGATGTTCTTCTGTGTCTGGGTGTCCCATGGCTTATTAAGGCAGCGGCGTGGAATGCACCTATTGAGATCAGCAGTCGCGGACTGTTTGTGTCCTGTTTCTTCATCGTGGGATCTGTGGCTATTGCTTTTTTTGTCCTTTATTTGAACAACTGGGTCTTGAACCAAAAAGTTGGGTGTATCTTTATAGTTATCTATTTCATTTTTCTGGGGACATCAGTGTCCATGGAAATGTTCGTATTCGGCAGGTTTCGCCTGCCAATGTGCAGCATCGAAGTTTGAATTTTCTTCTTCGATAATCATTTTCATTTTGTTCTCAAGGGCTGTTTTTCTAGGCTTTGGAGCTGAAAACGTTTTGGTGAGGAAACCGATAAGATAAAGTTTGCAATTTCGTGAGCAGGAGAAGTTGTGGCAAGCTCGTTCCCAGGACGTTTCTCCTCTGTTTGGTTAGGCACATCAAGAAGTTCTGGAGAAGAGGTTAAGCCGCAATGTATCATTTTTAATTTATTCATGACCTTTACGCATAGTCGGTTGTAAGGCACACATTGAAAATAACGTTATACTAGTATTCGTGCGCTTTCGTAGCAGAAGTGAAGAACTTGTGAATTGTTCGCATAACCTTTTTTCCCCGGTGTGATCACGTTTGCCTATAGCTGAGGACACTAATGAAGTATTTGGCACAATTAGGTGGGTTGGGGATAGCGCCAGATTTTGTAAAAATTACTGCTCACAACAAAAACTTTATTTTACCAGAACTGGGAGATTTTACTTCCACTAATTGGCTGCTTTTTGTATCAACAATTAGACGACAGACACGTTAAATTTTAATTTATGCAAGCTGCTGGCATAAATAAGGGCATGACCTTTTGTGTCAAATTTTCATAGATGACCATTTCAACTGCATGATTGGATTCAAGCAGCTTTGTATGTGCGTCACAAGGTGCCATCTTGTATCACCTTAAGCCTAAGAACTTTATTTAGAACTGTTTGACTAGGGATTTTGCTTATACTTTGTACCAGGAAGACACTTTGTGACGTATATATAATTTGTCAGGAATCTCACTATACGTACCGTAATTGCTTTCAGGGAACAAAGATTCCTAACGGGGTTCACACATTTTCTGTCATCCTTAATCGTCACCTTCCTGCTACTTTTCGATATGGGCGTTTGTTTCAACGAGATCAACCCCCGAGGTGCCATAAATGTAATCGCTTTGGGCATTTTGCGCGTGAATGCGCTAATCTTGTCTGTTTTAATTGCAATAATTTAGGCCACATTAGTAACGAATGTACGGACTCTCCAAGTAAGCTAAGTAAGACATACTCTTAACGGTTAAGGTAACATCTATTAACACCCGTGGTTTAGTAGTTTAAAAGAGAACCTCAATTTTCATCATTGTAAGTCTTTCGAAAAATATTTTGCTTCAGGAATCTTAATTTTCGGACCCCAACTTTTATCTGCCTCTTTTAATGAAGAATTAGGCTTTATTTATTTATTTATTTATTTATTTATTTTCCGATTGTCAAAGTCGTTTCTTTGATTACTGCATGGGTTTACGGAAATGTCTGTACCATTAGGAATACATCTACTAATATTGACCTTTAATTGTTCGTCTGTATACTGGACTACTTTGTCCTGTGCTGTTTCCGGTATCTATGACCAAGAGTTATCCTCCAAGAATTTGTTTCGTAAAGAGTTTCACGAACATTTTGCCGATTTGAAATGATTGTAAAAGTAGTTCGCCAAACGGAAGGCGTTTTCATTTTGATTCAAGATTTGAACCAATGAGAGAGTTTGTTCTTGAAAGGTGAAAATCGATGTTTACATATGTTGTTGGTGAAGATATTGAGTTCTTTGGTCTCATCTTGTCCTTTCAGTTCATAAAAGAGTTAAAATTGTAAAAGAAAAAAAAGGATCGTGTTTTATCTATAAGGAGAAAGTTAAAAATATATATATAAAATGACGCCGTTTGATTTGTAATTTGATCGTTTCAGAACAATTTAGTAAGGGTATCTGTTTTTGCGTTACTATTTTATAAAAGAAACAAAAAACATTTTCCTCGTACATTTTTGAGTAATATAATCACGTGCGAATTTTTAAGAACACTCGAGACGTACGAGAAGCACTTGCCTGCGGCTCGTGCTTTTCTAGAGCTTCTCTAGCTCGTGTTCTTAAAAATTCCCGCGTGCTTATATAATTCAACAATGCACTCGGCGCGTTTTTCATTTCTTTAACAACAGGTTTAACAACACGAAAATCAGTAGCAAAATAGCAAGATATCAAAGACTGATTTTGAAAAGGGCTGACTCTGAAAAGCTTTAACTTGTTGTATTTCTTTACTTATTTCCGCGTTATAATTTATACTTAATTTTGGTTAACTTTGTAGTCGAAAAGTTTTGTTTTGATGAAGAAAATAATTAAATTTAAACTAAAAAAGTTGGTTCTAAAAATACATGTATAACTTAGGTTTAAAAGACGCAAAGACTTCCACGTATATTAAGGAGTTTCGAGTAGCGATATAAATGAATTCAGCACATTTTGAGTATAAATAGCAGTAGCTAAATAGTACTTATTCTTTTTTAACTCAGCATCAGCTATCTTGAATTATTCGAATAAACATTTTCAGGCACCAATGGTTCATGCAGTTGCTTTGAGTTGCTTTAATTGTAATTACTTTGTGACAGCTTTTATTCAGTTCGGTTCTCTTCAAGAAACGCTTTTCACGGTACCAGTCATCTCCCCCGAGTCTCACTCTCACAGTAGATCCAAATTGGTTTCCCTGTGAAATCGCGCCAGACCTTTCGACCATTATAGCTTGAGCGTTGGAGGCTATGAGATTCAGTCTGGTTTGCTTAAACCTCCGCATCGGATGTTTCTTTATCAGAATTAACTGACGTGCATGAATTCATGATATGTAAACAGCTGTGTAAATAATACATTGTTGGACGTTTCTTGCGTCGGAATATTACTAACAGGGCAATAGCGAACGAGAAACATTCAAGCACGAGAAAGCTAGGTGACAATGAAAAATGGGAACAAAACCTAACTTGAACTCTAGCCCTATCCAGTAACTTCATCACCCATTCTCTGTTTTGCTCTTATTTTTGCATATCCTGTTGACAGTTCCCCTGGATAGTAACATCCCGTATGGCCATCGTATTTACCCGTTGGAAATCTATGTTACTGTTTTTACCGCTTAAAAACAATAAAAATCCTAACGGGTGAATGCGACAGTTATACGCGTATACTGCAAAGGATGTCACTAAAACGGGGAACAGCGAACGATTAACGAGCACGGGAAACAGGAAAATCAAAATGGGTTAACAAAACAGGGAATTGGAAATGAAGTTACTGATAGGCCCAGGGTTCCAGGTTTTGTTCCTTGTTTCATTTTCTCGTTCCCCAATTTCCGTTTCCCGTTTTACTAACATCCATATCTGCAAATGGATCCATCCTTAATTATGTTTATTTAGTGATTTATCTGTTGACTGTCCCGGATGAATTTTCGCCTAATATATCAGTGTAAAGCAAGTTGGAAGCAATTTGGTCTCCATTATGGCAGGTCGTTGTTTTTCTTTGTTAGTGCTTTCGCTGACTTGTGTGCTTTAGGGAGCTTGGCTGAAACACACTGCAACTGCTCTTGAAGGTAAGAAAACAATCTTTAGTTATTTAACTGGCTTAAAAAAAGAGTTTGTCGAAGTAAACTGTTCAGTGTAATCCGACTTATAAATAGCCATTAAGAATAATGCTTGCACTTGAGTAACCTTTGTTAAAAAAAATGTGTGTTGCTCAATCGTCTAGATTCTTCATATGAAAAAGAGACCTTAATATCATCTTGTTTCGTTTTTTCACCAAGAAAAAAACTGTCAGTTAGACTGTGAGGCCTTTAGTTGACCGCCTAGAAAAACACAAACCTGACAAAAAATGCTTTGCATTTACTGTGCAACATTATAATGTGAAGCTACTCTTCAAGTCTTTTCTTGTCCAAATGGAGGTGCTTTTAGTCCTCCGAAACTAATTCTAACTGATGCTGCATTATATGCATGAATTAAACCCTTCATCGCATCGTTTCTTCTACCTGGTGGGCTCATAATGGGGTGAGACGGTCTTTTAAGATATACCCTCTCAAACTAAACCGCTCAAAAGTACCCTTCCTTTACTGACAGTTGAAGATTTACATGCATACTACCAAAAAAATGTATAAAGCTGGTTTGACGTAATTTAAAATCCTCAGTTTAGTGTCGAAGACGAACAAACCATCTCACGTCCAAGCCGAGATGGAGTGCGTTCCATTCATAATCCAGATAGCTACGTTGTAAAACCAGATGTTAAAAGTACGTCAGGTAACAATTTGTTCGTTCAGGTTTTTTTACCGCGGGGGATGACGAAATGAGAGTGTGAAGAAGGACCGAATGAGTATTTGAAAACATATTTGGCCTCGTGTTTCCGGACCACGGAATTTTGTCATATTCTAGAAGATTTACCCTAGCTAGTGCAAAGTTTACGGAACATAATGGAACTAAGAGGAAAAGTGGGGTGATCATAAAGAAGTTCCTCTGGTGAAAATTTGGCGAAGTGAAAGATTGCGGCATAAAATTTTGTGTTGCTTTCTTGCTAAACTAACTTTCCTCTACATTTGAAGTCAATCGAAGCATGTTGAGTCATCCTCTTTTAGTCTCACGATTTGAAGGACAGCTAGACTCTAATTCCGGTAAATCATGAACTGGTAGTATCTCAAACCCAAACTCATATGACTGAGTGTTCTGCATTGAGGTGACTCTTATTTCAATTTAAATGACTTTTATCTTATTTTTAACAGTTACAGTTACTTTTAACAGTTAAAAGCATTTTTAATGACTTGTCCAAATAGCGGCGTTAAATCGATCGGAAATTATTCCTGATCAGCTCATTTTTTTTTAAATATAGATTTATCATCTTAATATATGTTAATGTTAAGACAGTTTAACTCAACAGTGTAAAGTTTGCAAAAGTTCACAGACAGAGAACGCAAAAACGCATTAACATCGTCGCTTTTATTAGGCCATAAAAGCACTCCAGTCGTGTTAGTAATATCCTCGGAACACGGAAGAGTTCACTTTATTTAAACTAAAAACAGGTATCCCATTTATTTAAGAAGAAGCAAATGGAAGATATGACAGTATCCTAGCTACCTGATATTCTCTTTCCAAGAATAATATGTCCATCTCGAGTATATCACTCAAAACATTTGTTTAGTTATTTTTAAGGCCAACCATGAGTTTCCCAGGTAATAAAGACAAACACAGGGAGATATACCAAGGGCTTTAAGACCACTTGACCGCTTCACAGACAATACATGAACAGCGGCATTGCCGTCCGTCCTTCCATAAACTTTTTCAAGAACTTGAAATGGCGACTCCAGCCTCCTTAGTCTCACAGCTTTTAACCCCGGCCATTTTAAAAACAATATAGTTTGAACAAATTTAACGTAGCTTAAGAGAGGTAAGACAGACAAGAAAGGTATTTCAGAGGTAGGACAGAAACTTGCAAAAAAAAAACAAAAAAAAAACGCGGTCTACATTTTGGAAGCAGATATTGGTATAATTGACGCCGTGACGATATTCACTTTTGACATGTCATTTGTTGACCGCCCATGCAGCAGGTGAATGTTAACTCACGTTCAGAGTAGCACGATCCATGCGCCTTTTTGGAAAACTGCCATGCAACCTTCCCAGTTTTCGTTAATTATGAGCTTAAATAATAATGAACGAAAACTAACAAAAGTGGCAGCCCCGAAACTTACAAATCCGACTTTTAAGCTGGTATACTATAGCCATTTAAATTTGTTGCCTTGGAAAAGCGTTCTTGGGGAAAAATTGTTTTCATATTATCTAGAATAAATTGCATTTTGTTGGAGTTACCGGTGAATGATTATGTGCATTAAGTACCAACATAATCAAAATAGCGTTTAACTTTTCTGGGCAAAGGATCTTAAGTTCTCCTCTACACGAATAAGTTAGCAACTGTTTGGAGGCAACTTGAAAACAGCAATGTAACGCCTTAATGTATAGGAGTTTTATTTCAAGGCGAACGAGAGCTCGCAATTAAAGTTCATTTTACCTTTTGCTCGAGAATTTACATGCCGCGCTAGCCCGGCTGCGTAGCTAGCGGTTTTGAACGATGGGGGGGGGGGGAAGGCAGTAAGAATTCTCACGCTCCCCTCACAATCGGATGAACGCGCAGAACGACTTCGATTAGAAATCGCAAATTAGTAATGATTTCAGACCAAAATCACGGAGTTCAATTGCCACTTTATTACGGCCATTTTGAAATCGCAGAATTCAGTCAGTACCAATATTTTATTGATCTAGAGGCAGATTAGTTGAAAAGAGGAAACAAAAAGGCTTTTACATTTCATTTTGTAGTTGAAAAAGAAATGAACCTATATAAAGCGAAAATAGATCGATTTAAAACAGAAATGACGTGATTTAGAACATGAATGACGCGATTCAGAACAGTGTGATTCGTGAAGCGGTGTGCGACATACGCAGACTGCAGACTTGCAGGTAAACCAGGAAAACTTTGTTGTGGAATGCTTTAACAGAGTCCCTATCCCTAAAGTTTAAGTCATTTAAAAGTCTATTTTAGGGAAAGGGAATCTGTTAGAGCATTCTACAACAGTGTTTACTTCGTGTACCTGCCAGTCTGCGGTCTTCGTTTGTCGCACAGCGTTCGTGAATAAATCACATTGCTGAGAGCCAATCCGATTTCAGGGATCATCAGTGATTTCAAAATGGATATAATAAATAGAGAATATTACATGGCTGCGCAGAGATACGAGGGTTTTAAAATTTCTCTTCGAGTGGTGAATAATATCGCGAACGAGTGAAATAGGTTTCAACTCGAAAAGAGAAATTTCGTATCTCCAAGCGACCATGTAATGTAAATCTACATATTATATAAACATCAGTGAAATACCAAACCATTTCACTCAAATAGCTTTTTGCTGTGAAAGGCCCAATTTATCATGTAGCCATAGCAACGGTAATCTTTTCACATGTGAAGACAACATGTTATTTTCACGTGTGAAGAGATTCGTGTTTCGCGCCAAAGCTCACCTGCTATTTCATTGGTGTTTATATAATCAATTCGTTAATACAACTCTCCGGTGTTCTGCAAGACAAACCAATGAACAGCGTTTCTACGATACGGTAGGTCAAACACTATTTACGTTACTACCATTTTCTGTTTTTGTCTTAGGTGATTGCGGTCAAAACAATCGACGCATCACATTTCTGACACCAGTCAGTGGTTTTTACCTTCAAGGACATGTGATTTCAAATCATTCTGTGGAACTAAACCTAGACTGCCAAGACCAATGCGCCTTTGCGAGGGAATGTGTTTCATATAATATTGGTCCAATGATAAACAACAAGATGACCTGTGAACTCAGTAATTCAGATCACTTGCAGCACCCAAAAGATCTCAAACCAAGAAAAGACTGGATCTACAGAGGCACACAGGTAACATCAACATGCGTCGACACGTGATCATGTCTTACGAAATGCCCTAAATCGTGATAATGGATGACTACAGTTATCGTTTTTTAAGACTTGAAAGTCATCTTAAGTCGCTTTAAATCGTATAACATTTGAGAAATTTTCCTAGAGCAGCTTTCACTTAGTTTTATCTTAGACTAATTCTGAGAACAGTACACATCAGAGTTTTCTAAGAAAAATACGTCTCCTCCTTTCAGAATCTTTGCGCTGCTAAGCCCTGCCTAAACAATGGCACCTGCTTCATGGGGTACACAGAGAAAAGATTCGTTTGTTTTTGCCCAGCTGGCTGCAGCGGAAAAAATGCGAGAAAGGTAAAGAGAATTTTGATGTCACGTATGTCAGTACATCGTACAGTGGCTGTTCACAGTTGATAGGATTGCGACACCCCATATTACCGGAGAAAGTTTGATTATCTTTTTAGTGTCTTTAACGGGTATTCTCCTTTTGCACATCTCCCATAATACACCTTGTTACGCCCCCCCCCCCCCGAAAAAAAAAAAAAAAATTGTGTCTTTCAACTCCTGGGTACAGTAATTCTTCGGAAAATGCCTTTGTCCTTCTTTAATTTAGTTCTGATTATCGTAAATAATACACCTTTGTTAAACCTGATATCATTGTTTATAAATATCAATGCATTTTTAGGTTTATTTCTTTTGCCTCCTACTTCGCCGTTTGCACATCTCCCATGATGATAGATACACCTTGTTTGCCCCTAAACATTTTGCTTGAGCATTGTCTTCAATTCTCCTTGGGATGATCATCAAACCTGTACATTGAGGTTTATCACTTTCTCTAGAATCTCTTTGCGGCAAGTTCAAGTCTTATTCAAATATTCTAATTGTTCCCTTTTTTTTCTGTGACATATCTTAATAACTTAATAACTTAATAATTTGTGTATTTCACTCAGTTTCCTTTGTAATATCTTTAGCTTTTAAATCAGCATTACGCCTAACAGTTAACAACTCTTACACAGAGCACCTGACATCTTGAAAACACCCGCGCCTTAGTAAAATAGCTCTAAGTCTGCGAAAAAAAGGTCATTGATGACCGAGGTAACGCTCGGGGGAGGGAAGCTCGTCGTCTCACTTTGGAGTGTAAATTGCAGATCTTGGCCTCACTTAGAGTGTGTGGGATGGAACGTCACTATATTTGCCCATTCTGGAATCGCCTAATACTGCGCATAAAGCAATTTAAATAAAATGCCCTGGCACTGATCGCAAAGAAATCTCCCTTAGGGGTCAGTTTAAGCTTGAGCCACACCTACATTAGTCTCCCTTAGGGGTTTAGTTTGAATTTTCTGACGCGCATCCCCGTCACTTTTATGTGGGAGTCCCCTCAAGGGTAACGAATAAAAATATTAATTTTGAACCTTCTCTCACTAGTTGCATCATGCAGTTATTTAAAGAAGAGTGACCCTACGGCAAAAAGTGGAAATTACATCATTGATCCAGATGGCAAGGGAGGTCAGGCAGCATTCTCAGTGTACTGTGACATGACTGACAAGAATGGTGTTGGCGTGACAGTCATCAGTCACGATAGTGAGAGTAGAACACTTGTGAGAGGATATGACCCCTTAGGGAACTACTCACGTGACATTCATTACACAGGAACGAGTCTGTCTCAGTTGGCCAGTCTTACGAGCGTCTCCTCACACTGTGAGCAGTTTATCAAGTATGAGTGTTATCATTCGATGATGTTCAGGTACGGCGGATTTGCTTGGTGGGTTTCACGTAATTCTACTAAGATGACGTACTGGGGAGGAGCATTATCTGCCAGTGGTAAGTGCGCATGCGGAATGAACAACTCATGTGCAGACTCTAGGTTTGGCTGTAACTGTGATAAGAATGATCACGTATGGCGTGAAGACAGCGGTCTGCTCACTGAAAAGACAAAGCTTCCAGTAATACAGCTCAGGTTTGGTGATACTGGTGATACGAAACTTCGCGAGAAGGGTTACCACACTCTGGGGAAATTTAAGTGCTACGGCACAGCATAAGCATCTTGGTATCACACAGACAAGCTTATGGGTTAACTGCAGCTTACTTGAGCGTAATTAAGCAAAACATCGAGGATAATGTCCTCAACTAGTAAGATATCTGCATTATGAAGATTGTTGACTGTGGGGATGCACAGGAAATTCTACCTCTCCGCTCACGCATATATTATCTTGTTTCGCGGATTGTATGAAGATGTAGTTAAGAACTTTGCGTCTCTTTTAACTGCTGTAAATGCACTGTCTGTAATACATTAATAAAGCACAAAACCAAAACGCATTCTCAACTGTTTCACAGCCATAAAATGCGTCTGTTAGCCTTTTTAGAGACCGATATGACAGACTTCCCTACCCTTTTGTATACTGTATTGTTATTATTTTTAAAACTAGTGAAATCTCTATCCTTTCTAGTCTAATACACAGCCGTTTTTTGTGCGTCACGCAACGCTCCTTTTGTGGCAAGCGGAACCTCCCCTTATAAGCCATTATTTAGTACCCCCTCGGGAGTAGATTGACACCTTGCATGCAAATGTCCGGAAATGTTGCCAATCCAACGAACGATAATACTGACCGTCAATATCACAGAAAAAGACGTGAAATGATAGAGAGAAACTTAAAAACAACAGGTACAAGAAGTCTTTCGATTGTCGTCTTCACTGATGCAAAAATAAAGGAGCAAGATGAAAAACAAAAGGAAAAAATCTCGACGATTTTGAAAATGGTAACTCAAACTTCAGAGTTTTCACACGAGAAATTACAAACTTGCGATGGCAAGATTCCCTATATCTGATCGAGTGCCTGTGATGGCGTCCAGATTCAAAATGTTATGATTGAAGATTTCAGGGCATTAAAAGACGCTGTAGGAGACCTAAACAGATAGGAAAAAGAACAGTTTTAAAAGCGAGTAGGAAACATGCTAACGAGCATTACGGTCTAAAGCAAATGCTAGAAAACTGTGAACTTTACATGTATGCTTCTCATTGGTGCCAACGTCTTTTTTATTTTAATATTTGCACGGAAGTTTCTCTGCTTGTCAACGTACTCCATACTCCGAGTGCTCCTACTAAAAAGCATATTTAAAGACCTTTTTCTTTTACGTGGCTTTGGGTATAGTCTCACATGAACCTCTCCTTACGATCTAATGATGCCATAGCAAGTGCATAGCAGCTCTGGTAAAACGCACATAGGCCTATGATGCTGCTAAGTTTTCAACAACCTTAAGAATTCTTTACTTTTTCTCTCTGCCGACATCGAGGGTTCAGCTGCTCTAGCAAAAACACAGAAGAAATGATAATTCTTTACTTCGAATTTTGAAGACGTCAAATGAAAACCAGCAATTCAATCTTCTCCTCTAAATTATGTCATCTTTTTCTCTCACGTACTTGTATTCTCTACTAAACATTTGGAAGATCTGTTCGAATCTATTGTGCTCGAAATCGATGGAATTGCTGCGGTTCTATTTATTGTTACTGTTTTTCGTATGCCAACCACTCCTCCATGAAGTTTTTCTGTGCATATTTCAGCTTTTTCCCATCTATGTATATATTTACGGTACGTGCTTTCGAATATCAGTATCCATTATACTTTATTTACAGTTTGTTATTGTGTTAAACGTGCATTACCAAAAACTCTAATGAGAGTAACACGTTAACCACGATATTTAATGAAATGAGCACACTCTTAAAATCAAGAAATAATTTCACTTGCGTTATAGACTGTTAGAATTTTGACAAATCGCGGGTGGACATACTTCGTCATCATCCGAATACCCACAGTTATCTTATTACGTGCGAGAACATTTTATTATGTTTATGAATTGAATAGTTAAATATTAATAAAGACGTCAATACCATATTTATCTTTTGCCTATGCCGGACTAGATTTTCCCTTATATAAATGACAGTAAACCAGTTCAATCAGAAGAAGTTCTTTCTACGGGGTCTTCAGTATGACAGGCTGCTGTTTTTCCGTGTTGGCGCTCTTGTTGGTTTGTAATTTTTGGGGAGCTTGGTTGAAGTACATTGCAACTGCACTTGAAAGTAAGAAATAATGTTACTTAAGCCATAAAAATGAAGTTTCCCTTTGCAGATAAATGGTTTCTGATAAAAATCTAGACCAGTAAGTTTAATCGGACTTGTAATGACTACCCATATTCTGTATTCTATATACACCACACATGAGCCTTAAGTATTGAGGACAGTCTCAGCGACTTTAAGAGAGCTCTCAGTTAATTAAAAGTCACGCCTTGAGCTGACCACTAAAAAAACACAAGCGTGAAAACCGGCACACCCTTGCAAACATATCGTGCAACAATCTCAGTGTAGCTAGCAGCCAAATCTTTCCTTTTATCTATGGAGGTTGTTTTGATCTCAGACTGATACAGCCTACTTATTTGAAAGAGAATTTGTTAAGACTTTTGTCGATTCTTCTAGCAAAAGGGTTATAATGAGTCTGCGTTGGAAGATACACCCTCTAAAACCAAACAGCTTAAACGAGCGCTACACGCATACTTGGCCTAGTGGTTTCGGACTCAAAGCGATAAAGGATAGAAGAACGTGTTGAAATTTTTTTCATATTGAATACGTAGTGCAAACAAGAACGTGTATGGGACATAATGGAATTTGAGGAAAATAGGAGGGATGAGAGATGATCGCGTAAAAATGAAAAACTCGCTTTCACTTTTTTACATTTTCATTTAGTTATAATAATTTGAATCATCCCCTTTAAAATTGATTCGACAGCCCGGTACAGTCTTTAACTTCCGGTGAACGGCGGTAAATGACGAGCTTGACGTCTCTATTAAACCCCGATGCATTTCGGAACCGAGTGTTCTGTGAAATAGAGACAAGTTTTCAAACAGAAAACAACAGTTATAGTAGGAAAGATTTAAAGTATTCTTTCATGAATTTTCCAAAAAGCGACGAAAAATCTATCGGTAACAAAGTTGTTCAGAGAAATATCATGCAGATATATAAGTTATTATTCAGACATACTACCGAGTAAAACTGACAAAAGTTTTTACTGAAAGAGAACACTTTAAGGTTTAAATATCGTCAGTGTGATGGGCAATCGAGTTCGCCATAGCCAATGAAAGAGATCAGGGACTAATATTTGTCACCAATATAATTTCCAGCGTTATTTCAATCAAGTTTACAGAGCACCTTGCTTGCTACACTGATTATTAAAGACACAGCCAAAAGATGGTATGGCAATATCATTTTCAGTTACTTAATAGTTCTTTTCAAGACAAACAAGAAGAGAGTACATGTATAAAAGGCCCTCATTAGACCGTTCTACAAACACTAATTTTAAAACAGCTGCAATAAAATGCCGTTCTTTACATCGACCTTTTTTCAGAAAACGGTGATTCCATCTTCCTTATTAGTTTCACAGCTAACAACATGTTCCCCAATTTGAAAATAATTTAAATTCAACAGTTTAAACGAAGCATGAGAGGAATAGAGAAACAGAAAACCGTCTTAAAACAGTCACGTACACATTTCAAAAGAGGAAATTTTGCAATAATTGACGATTGTGATATCCACTTTTAGCATGTATATACTATTTGTTAACCGCCCACAGCAGGTGGATGTTTGCTCACATTAGCCACGTTGCGGGTGACAGTATACTTACGTTAGTCACGTTTCACTGCAAACGGCCGGCAAACGTCACATTTAAGTTTTTAATTTCTGAAAATACTAAAATAAGTAGACAAAAACTGTATCAAGCGATTCTTGTTGGTTAAAGAGGCGTTTGATTGCAAACATATGAGTAGAAGTAATGAGCAATGTACGTCAAGTAAAGCGAAAGCTTTGTCACGTGATACAAACTTATTAACGTTTGCCGTTTGGTGGAAACGTTTTCTATATTGTGCCTCTTTGTCAGGCAACCACCCTTCCCAGGTTTAGTAATGTGCCTTGCAATTTACAATCCGGGTTTGAAGCTGGTCAGCGCTTGTCATCATTATCGAGTTTTTCAAACAGAAGTTAGCCTCAAAGTGTAATTGAAAGAAAAAGAGGAAAATAACTGAAATGAGGACATTAAGTCGTCCTTTGATAAAATCAGATAGCAAATGTTTGAATAAAGGCACGTGAGAGTGAACAGCATTATTTATGGCTCAGTCAATTCCAAGCGTGCCAATCCCCCGGGGCATTTGTCATCTTGTCGGTCCCTTCGGCGGGGATTTGTCGCAGAACCTCTGCCCGCGGGTGGGCCATTACTTTTTTTAGGTTGAACATAAGATTTCGATCGTTGCCCTGACAACGTGGATGATTTAAAAAAAAAACAGCTATCATGAGAAAAACGATTGTGTCACAAAACTCCCGGCTTTTTTAACTTTTATTTTCACTAGTTCATTGACCAAGGTGCGATACAAACAGAATTTTGGTGAAATTTCTTCATATTTAAATGCGTAGATTTTAAGATATTTGTTGTTTGTTTAAATTGCCTATAAAACTCAACAAAACAAGCGCTCTAACATTACTCCCGAAGTACGCATGCTCAACACTTGAGAGCACTTTGAAAACACATGATATGTCAAAGGCGACGAAAACTGACAAATTCTGGGCATTTTTTCCCGCTTTCCTCACATCCCATCATGACTTAAGATGCTAATAGTAAAGAATAAGGTGTTTGTAGAGAAACTGTGTTCACCTTAATAAAAATCTCAAAAGAGCTCGCCTATACCAGTAAGGCAAGTGTATTTTTAGGGCAAACAACAATGACCTAATATGAAAGCAAATGAAATTAATTATCCTATTTTACTGAGAATAAATATGTGGCGCACAATGGTAGCGCTCCATTTAAAACTACAATTTCCGTCGCGTGGGGAAAGTCTTATTTTACCAAAGAATTATAATAATAAATTAAAATTAAAATCAAAAATCGACAAGAAAAGGAAGAAACACTAGAATGACTTGTTGGGTAGGAAATTACAATGATAACAACTAGTTCAATGTTTAAAACAAAATAAAAAATAAAAAAAATTAAAAAAAACTGGTTAGGCTGTCTACCTTTAGGCAGGATTAAAGTTAAGAACATTTTTTATTCATCTTAACTTTATCATATATGGCGATACTTAATACCTTTTATAATAGAGAAGAGAAGTCGTTGCGTCGCGTTGCCATGGTAGCAAAATTTTTTGATGACAACAAACCAAAATGTCACTTAAAAAGTGGATTCGCACTGTTTCAAACTTCATCGATCTTATTTAATTTCATCTAATGTGTCAAATGTGGGCGAAATTTTCTGGGTTAAATCCGAAAGGACCGTATGTAAGTTTAGAAAAAGAAAATCAAAATTTTTGTGTTGTACTCGCCTACTCCATGAAGTGGGCGCGTGAAATTAGGAAGTTTCATGTCGTGGTCGCGCAACAACGGCTAAGAAACTACAAAAAAGCGTGAGGCACGTGCAAAGATGTTTTTTTGCCAATCTAAACCTATTGTTTTTTTGCGGTTGGCCGTCGCTGTTGCAAAAACTCCCTATTGTTGTCATCCAGAAAATTTGCTACCATGGTAACGTGACGTCACACTTCTCCTCTCTATAAAGTTCAGATATTAACGCCCACTCTGATTGGATGAAAAGCATGTTTGATGAGAGTATAAAAGACAGGGACTAAAGCGGTCACGCCATCTGTGAATCACACCATGCGGAGGTTTTCTAGACCAAAGTGTCGCATTTCAGAGTGAAAAATACACCGTTGAAAGACACAAATTGAAAGGGAAAGTTCGATTGAATGTTCAGTTTTCTTTTTGTGGACAAGGAAAGCTTTTGGTTTCAAATCGTCCTTCGAGCCTTCAACGATATTATCTTCACGCCGGAGCGCAAAATGTTATCTGTTTTGAAATTAATCCAAGGCAGCGAAGTTTTTGAAGACTTTTCAGGTACATTTCTTACTCTTAATGGTCAAGAAAATTACGTTTTTAAAAGGAAATTTATGTATGTATAAGTGTTTCAAAAACGTTGTTTAAATTTTGTCTTCGCCGTTAAAGAAAGATTACAAAGTGCACCCCGATTTGAGGTGGATTTTGTGTTGAATTTTGCCATGTGTTCATCCGATTTTCCAGGCTTTAGACCAACTTCTCACTTTTTGAATAAAAATTTTCAAGAAATAACGTTTCTGTCTTTTGTTTTGTTTCTGTCTTCTGCAAAGACGTCCGCGAATTTTATAGAATTTTTACTTTCAAGTTCAGTTTTTGGGCACTTTAAGCAGTTTGTTTTCAAATTTACATGTTAATGACGTACAGGTTTTCATGGGAAGCGATTCAGCCAGTTTTAAAAGCTCTTTTTCCTTCTGGATTCAAAGAACGTTTCGCTCGTTTCACTTTAAGATAGCTTTGATGTTTTGACAGCTTTTGTCTTATTCAATCAATCAAATCATTTGGCCCATTCTGGCTAATCTAAAAAGGATTATGATTGGCTAATTAAGCGTGGTTTATGGGACTGTAGAACATGCTGAGGACAATCTGGTTCGTTTTGAAAATAAAGTTTGTTTTCAAAATTAGAAAGCAATGCGTTGGGAATTTAACAAATTCTTCATCATAAAACAAATCAGAAAGAAGCCTTGACTTTGCTCTGTTCTGTTGTAAAGTACTAAGGAGGCGACTAGAGTAGAGCAAGAAGAAGTAGGGAGAAACACTCGACTACGACTGTTTGACTGTGACAATAGACGGATCGAAACGCACAAATGACATTACGAGTCTTCATAGCCAATAACGTGACGCTTTTACGGACAGACGACCAATAATATCGCGACTTATTGACGAACCAGGTCAATAACCAGAGTTTAATACCATCAACTGACGTGATACAACTGACCTTGACTCTGAAGATAACTACCACACAGGTTGTAGAAACGTCAGTCACTGTCGACAAATAGTCCTATTCAGGACTATGTTTAACCTTCTTACTTGTTACCTTCTTTTTATAGTCGTTCTGCAGAACAAAACTTATTAGTAGCGATACTACGATATAGTCGGTGCAAATGCTCTTTACGTTTTAACTACTTGTTATTTTGATACAAATCTCTATCTTAGGTGATTGCGGTCAATTCAACCGACGAATCTCATTTCTGACACCAGCCAGAGGTTTTTACCTTAAAGGACACGTGTTATCAAATCTTTCTGTGGAACTAAACCTAGACTGCCAAGATCAATGTGCCCTAGCGAGGGAATGTGTCTCATATAATATTGGTCCAATGATAAACAACAAGATGACCTGTGAACTGAGTGACACAGATCACTTGCAACACTCAGAAGATCTCAGACCAAGAAAAGACTGGTTCTACAGAGGCACAAAGGTAACAACAGCATTCATAGTCACATGTCACGTGATCATGTCTTATAAAATGTGTGGTTAAAATTGATGACTAGGACGCATGCGTCTTTTTAAAACTGTAAGCGTTTAACTGATTTATTTTGTTTATTCTTTTTTTTTTTTCATGTATACTTGTTATAAAATACACTGCTTAAAACACACTTTTAGTTAAAAGGAGGCTAACTCTCCAAATTTTTATTAATTAGCTAGAATTTAAAAACGATGATGGAATGGATAATGATTACGCGATTGCGATGATGATGATAATTACTATGATCATGATGATCATTTTGATATCGCAATGAAACTGTAGCGATATTAGGGATTTGATTAACCAAGGGCGCAACTGCATTTTATCAAAAGGGGGGGTTTGGGGGTCAAATCCACGGTGCTTACCAGATTGTCAGTCGACATCCATAGTAAGAGTGACACTCATTTTTTCGCATGTGCAGTGTGTGAGGCGGCAGGGATATGCCCACACCTTATACTGCATTGACAAGTCAGGTGTCAAGAAGGACCGAGTATACTACAAAATCTTGTCCCAAACTGTAATTGGCGACGAAAATACTTTGATAAGAAAGGGAGCTTTCAACGATGGTTTCTTCGAAAAAATTTCGACTGCCTACATATCTTCGTTCAAAAAGAGTGAATCTTTGAGATTAACCTGGGCTTCGGTTAATCGATATCCTAGCGTTTTGCGGTAAAAAGAAAGGGACGCATGTCACATATGATGGGGGAGGGCAATCTAACAACCCCCATCACCGTGGGATGTAAACCGTGATGACAGACCAATTGTGGTATGATGATGAGATAATATCTACTAAGTAGGCCGACGCAGACCCATTAAACCTATTGCAGGTTTCGTTGAATATATCGGAGACAAATTCTGAGAATATAACACATTAGAGTTTACTAAGAAAAAAAATGACTCTTTGTTTCAGAATCTTTGCGCCGCCAAGCCCTGCCTAAACAATGGGACCTGCTATATGGGATACACGGAGAAACAATTCGTTTGTTTTTGCCCAACTGGCTACAGTGGAGAAACATGCGAGAAAGGTAAACGTTTTGTTGATGCCAAGTATGTGCACCGTACATTATGCAACAGGCGTACGAAGTTCATAAAATCGCGAAACCCTGCCACTGAGAAAACAAAATCATGCGCTTATCTTATAATCATTCTCATATAATATACGCTCGATCGTCACCCTCATAAAGAAGAAGGACAGGGATACAAGATTGATATAAAAAAAACTGGAGACCGTCATCTCTCGTAAACGTAGACGTTAAAAATTAACAGGCTCAAAAGCTATGGCAAAGAGATTAGAAAAGATCCTGCCATATGTAATCCATCATGACCAAAATGCATCCGTGAAAGAAAGAACGATTTTTGATGCAGTTAGAATAATAAGCGACATCATGGATTATACGATGTAATTACGTGATCAATTAATGCAAAAGGCCTATAACATAACGGACCCTTTACAGCCTCGGGAGGTTTTGCAACAAAAGTATTTCTAATAATAGACCCCGGCGGAAAAACGAATTATGGCAAACGACTGGGGAACTTAAGCACGGGCATTTTTGAGCGGGCACATCCACCGGAACTGAGGCTTTAATATGCCTCAGGGCCCAGTTGTTTAAAAGGTGGATAATGCTATCCACCAGATAAATCACTATTAACTGGATAGCACAATTGGTTTCCCTAACTTTTATCCATTGATGGTGATTTATCCGATGGATACCGCTATCCAACTTTTGAACAACTGGGGCCAGGACGCTACCAAATTTGTGTAGATACGATACGTACGAAGATTTGGGCACAAACGTTTGGGCAAAAACTCTGCCCAAGAATACAGAAATTCCACTTCAGTTTGAAGTGCGTCTATTAAAAACGTCTTTGCTTTAGCTCCTGTTGTGAATCTTCTCTCGGCAGTTGCGTCATGCAGCTATTTAAAACAGAGCGACCCTACAGCAGAAAGTGGAAATTACATCATTGATCCAGATGGCGAAGGAGCTTTGCCACCATTCTTAGTGTACTGTAACATGACAGACAAGAATGGTGTTGGCGTGACAGTCAACAGTCACGACAGTGAGAGTAGAACACTTGTGACAGGTTATGATTCCCCTGGGAGCTACTCACGTGACATTCACTACACTGGAGCGAGTCTGTCTCAGATGGCGAGTCTCACCAGTGTCTCTTTACACTGTGAGCAGTTTATCGAGTATGAGTGTTATCATTCCGTGATATTCAGGTACAGTGGATATGCTTGGTGGGTGTCACGTGATTCTACTAAGATGACGTATTGGGGTGGAGCATCACCTGGCAGTGGTACGTGCGCATGCGGGATGAACAACATGTGTGCAGACTCTGAACTGGCCTGTAACTGTGATAAGAACGACGGAAAATGGCGTGAAGACAGCGGTCTCTTGACTGACAAGACAAAGCTTCCGGTAATACAGCTTAGGTTTGGAGACACGGGGAATAACGAGCAGGGATACCACACTCTGGGAAAATTAAAGTGTTATGGCAGGGCATAATCGCTTGGGTAATACCGAAATCGCTAAGTTCAATAGACAGCTTTAACACACTTAAGTCCAAGATTTATACCTTCTTGCTTAAAGCAGACAAAAGTGACCATCAGTGTTCGGTGGAAGACTTAAGTGATTCATTTTTATAATCATCATGTAATTTTCACTGATCTTACGTTTTTATTCTAGATTGTTTTCTTTTTTCTTAACTTCCGATTTTATCAGGATTTCTATATATATTTAGATGTAATAACATTAAGCTGCACATTATCATCGGATAAGGGTGATAAACAGTAGGCCCTGTCTCACAACCCTTGCGAATACAAATTTCGTGGGACGTTAAAAAAACCCACACTGCTCGTAAAGAGTTAAGGGGATGTAGTCTCCGGTGTGGTAGAGGGACTACTCAAGGGGTGAGGGACTGTTACGGGCCTGCGTAGTGGCGCCAGGTGCTTTTGCCGTAACCCTGCCAAGAATCTGGAGTAACTAAGTAAGGCCAGGTTCAGACGCCGAACTTTTCATCAGCCGAACCTAATACATTGAATTTTAAAAATACATGAAAAGTACATGGAACGCGCAGCCCATTCCGTCCGGGAATTTCAGCTTTGGAGTGACTTTGGAACGGCTTTGATTTAGACGCCGAACTTTTTATGTCCCGAACCTAATGCATAAAGTATTTGGAAGCAGTATTACCGAAATGAGCATTTTTTTTCTTTTTGAATTTTGTTCGGCTGGAATTAAGATTGGCGTCTGAATCAATTCAGCCGTTCTAAATTATTTGAGTCGGCCTTAATTCGAATTAGGCTCGCCTCATGAAAAGGTCGGCGTCTGAACCGGGCCTAAGTGTAAATAACAACAACAACAACAACAACAACAACAACAACAACAAATTTATTCATAGTACCCAAAGCAGAATATTATAGTTATTTTACAAGATGTTAAAATAATCAGTTAACTAAAAGGGGTACTGACTTCGTGAAATAACTAATTAAGTTAAAAATGCCAAGAAGCCACATTCAGTAAAATAATTTAAATAAGTTTATTGTGCGGGGTACAATATGGCAGCATATCAGACAAGAGGTAATAATGATAATAATAATAATAATAACAATAATAATAATAATACACTTTATTTCAAGAGGGTAGCACGGAATAGTTACAGAAACTAGTAAACTTGTGGCCCTCTATTGAGAAAGAGAAACAGCTTTAATCTTATCATCAATTGAGTTCCAGATCTTTGGTCCTTGAAATCTAATATTAAATTTTCCATAATTAGTTCTAGCTTTGAAAAGGTAACATGACTGTTTAGCTGCAGATCGTGTATTGTAATAATGGATCTCACTTACTTTAGAGAAAAATGCATCAAAAGCAGAAGGTAATAAGGAATTGTTGAATCTATACATAAAAACTGCAATATGATATGATAACAAATCATTCAGTTTGATTATGTTCAATTTTCTAAATATAGGACTCGAGTGTGAACTTGCAAATGTCATTAGGCGAATAGCTCTTTTCTGTAAAATAAAGAGAGGTTGGAGAGTTGTTGAATAAGTGTTGCCCCACGCAATTATTCCATAAATAAAAAAAGGATAAATTAAAGCATAGAGGTTAGACAGTACATTAATACCGCTATAGTAGCGAATCTTGGATAATATTCCAACACCTCTCTTAATTTTGGTTAAAATATATTGAATCTGAGATTTCCATGACAAACTTGAGTCAATGAAGACACCAAAATATTTTATTCACTTTTCCTGATTTAAGCACTTGTTTTCTAAGATTAACTGGAAATCACTGGAAATCTTTTTTGTGGAGGATGGAAGACAACAAAACTTGATTTTTGTATATTCAGTGAAAGCTTGTTAGAACGAAGCCACATACTAACATTGTTTAGTTCAGTATTTATATTTTGTTGTAGAATATTTATGTCTTTATGTCTACAAAAGAGATTAACATCATCAGCTAAAAGGTGGAAGTCAAAAAGTGTTGAACCAAAGATGAAAGTCATTAATATATATTTAAAAAAAAGAACTGGGCCGAGGACTGATCCCTGTGGTATACCACAGGATATACTAGTAAGGTCAGACTCTATGCCATTAACAGTAACAAATTGTTAGCGATTAGTAAGGTATGAAGTAAACCAGTCCTTAGCAATACCCCTTATGCCATAGAAGTCAAGTTTTTCAATAAGAATAGCATGATCTACAGTGTCAAATGCCTTACTAAGGTCTAGAAAAATACCACATGATAGATCACCTTGATCAATTCCCTGTTGAACTTTGTCAATAATACTAACAATGGCAAAGTCAGTTGAATGTTTACAACGGAAGCCAAACTGACCTTGAAAAAGCATCTTTTCCTTTTCTAGAAATTTTAAAAGTCTGCCAGACACAATTTTTTCTAAAAGCTTATTGAATGTAGAAAGTAAAGGGATTGGACGATAATTACATAGGTCGGTATGAGAATCCTTTTTATGAAGGGGAATTACGTTGGCAACTTCAAACTTGGAAGGAACAATTCCAGTTGATAAAGAAGTATTAAACAAGGTTGCTAGGGGTACTAATATAACACTTTTGAGAATTTTAAGTATATTCACAGTATATAAATAAATAAATAAACAAATGAACATTGATTTATACCATTAATACTTGACTGAATTGCTGACTCATTCTGCAGGGTATATAAAGTTTTTATTTACTTATTTTACTCAGTAAATAAGGTTTTTATTTACTTATTTACACAGACAAGCTTGATTTGGCAAGTATATTCTTGGTTTGCAACGAAGTGACAAGAGGGTCATGTTGGTTGACAAAAAAATAAAAGTTTTTTTTCGCAGATTTTGCAAGAAAAATAGTTTAGTTCTTAAAAGTTTCACAACAAAATCTTACGGGGCGTAAATAAAGGATGAAGAGAGAATGGTCAAGAATAATAAAACATAATAATAAAAAGTATAACCCGAGGGAGACAATCAAGTAGAATTTATTTTTGCATTTACTTAAGCTCGTTGGTATAGTCCATAGTCATCGTTTTGGATTTTGAATTATGTGTGATTCAAATAAATTTCACATAAAAGCACCAAACGTTTGATTACTGTAATAGCCCTAATTGTATATATATATATTTTTGCCAGCTTTTACCTCGATTGTCGTCAACAACCCCCGGCCTTTATGATAAGAGCCGTATTCTGGATAGGGAATACTGCCATTTACATTTTTAAACTACAAGGGAGTGGGGACATGATGAAGGGTAGGGTTTCTAAGCCGTTTCGTGTGGGATAGAGTCTAGAATTCAAAGGTTTCTGGTCTACGAAGAGGGCATCAAATACTCGGTTGTATGAAGAATTGGAGATTCTCTTTAGTAGTTATTCTGGGATATGGTGGGGGTCTTGATTTCTAGTCTCGCGGAATAGGGTGGCAAAATTACAGCTGAAAATGGGTCTGTAATAGGCTAAGGTTTCCAGGGTCCCAGCCAAACATAAACACCCAAACATTCATTGAGTGACCCCCCGGCTTATCACGTACCAGTCGATGGGAGCCACAGGCACCACAAAGTTGGAACGGAAGGAACAGAGGGACTTGCCTCAGGCTTGTTCGCAAACCGCAGGATACTATAACATTCCGGAAGAGAAGAAACATTGTATGCCGGCGAGGGACAAGAGATTTAAAAATGCGCCGCGCATAAGGGGGAATGACGGGGAGTTCAGGAATCAATTTAGGTTTCTGGGAAACTGCCCACCTACCCATTCCCTAAGCCATCATTTTGCCCTAAGCGAGAAGTAAGTGTTGATGTTAGCTTAGAGTTAGGGGAGGGGTAGGTGGGCAGTTTCCCAGAAACCTAATTGATCCGAGTTCAGTAGAGAGCCAGTAGACAGCTTACCAAAACAATGATACAGTGAAACCTGTATTAAGCGGACACCCTCTATTAAGCGGACAGTAGCCGAAGTCCCCAAATTTATTTCCCTTATTTACTTTAAATGAAACCTTTATTAAGCGGACACCTCTATTAAGCGGACGCGGACACCTAAAAAGTACCTGAAATGGTCATTTCTATTGTTGCCAACCTGTATTAAACGGACACTTGTAATTAAATTCCACCACCCAACATGCCAGACACCGGAAATGCGAAAGATTGCCTCGAATTGCCACTCACAAATTCGATTTTTACATTAAAAAACGTGACTTGACGAACTTATTTGATTAGTTTCCCAGTACAGTATTGTTTTCTATTTCGTTTTGTTTGCATAGAGCTTTTTTCACTCATCTGATTTCTTCAAATTTGAGTTGCAATCTATGTTTAAGGTACTATGATCAATTGGTCCACTTTGATAAAGAAATTCATGCAGACGTATATCGTCATAGTCTCTGGGAGTATTCTAAACGTTTCCACTGTTCAATTGAATGGCATTTGACACCTCATATGACGTTATCAGTTGAAACCAATGATATCAAATTGACAACATACATCAAGAACCACGCAAAAGCTGAGAGTGCAATCAAACATCACCAGACGTAGTTAATCGATAAACCGATAATCGATATCGATGATTAATATCGATTTCCAATATCAATCGATCGAAATCGATAAAAAAGTTGATTTCGATTAACATCGACGATTTTTCCGATAGAAATCGAAAATGATTTTTTTTATTGATTATTATCGATTCCAATCCATTGTTATCGATTTTGTTAATCGATAACAATCGATAAATTATTTTCTTCCGTGACTTCGATTTCTATCGTTTTCCGATATGAATCGATATTAATCGGCGAATTAAATCGATTAGTATCGATGATATCGATTGATTTCCGATATCGATTTTTATCGATTAACTACGTCTGGAACATCAGAGCGGCAGAATCTCCTCTAGGAAGAGTGTCGACTGTAAAGATATAGAGGAAGTAAAAGCTCTCCGTCCACACACACATTATCCTGTTTCCGTATATAGATGTTGACAGGAAATTTTGCACGGGAATCAATCATGCTTAGCTGAGGTACGAAGTTCTTTTGCCGCAGCAGGGTGGTGAAGGGCTTTTCTTAGAAAACAGAGCCCTTTTGCGCAATGACTAGTTGCTGTAAGCAACGGCATACAAAACCAAACAAGTATTTAATTTCCCCTCAATACAGAGAATAAACATTAAAAAAAGTAAAATAAATATTCTAAATGATCATCTTTATTCTCCGCAGAGTTTGCAGTCAGTTGTCACAATAAACGTTTTCGAAAATCTTACACGGAACTAAAATAAGTTCCCTTCTGTTTCTTTAAGTGGAATGTCACTTAAGCCGGATCTTAGAATGGATTCATTTGCAACATACGCGTAACGCCGTTACATTTTAGTGACAATTGCTGGTTGGCGTTTTTGATTGAAAATTTCCAAAGGGCGAATGTATGCGTATGTTGTGAATGTTAAGTCTGAAATAACAAAGGAATTCAAAGTCTGCGGAAAGCTTTGAGGAATTTGTTTTAGTCAGGAGCGCACAGTACTTCCTCATAGTATTCAGCAAATTTAGCAGGTATCAGGTCAAAGTCTTCGCCATAAAATGACCGCGAGTCATCCTTTCGCCACGTTCTTGTCCAAAATTTTCTGTCCGTAGATAAATCTACACAATAAGAAAGACGGCTGGACTTAGGCAAAGAAAAACCCCATTTTTTATTAAATGTTAGCGAACGTAGCGGTACTATTAGAGAATGCCATCATAACGGTACAAACTGGATTGTTTATTGGCCTCGTGGACAAGGTTCCCATTTTAATTGAAAACAGATATACTCTATAACTTCGTTTCCCTCTTTCCGGCCAAAATGGTCACCGAAAACGCATCTTTTAAATTCAAAACGGAGATTTTGAAAAACGATGAGTGAAGGGTAAACGCAAATACTTTATCAATGATGATTTCCTACGTAAACGTTTTCATGTGGCGGACTTGCGAAAACAGGTCAAAAACGGTTCTTTAAGGTGTTTCGATACAGTTTTTCGCAGACCATACCGATGAAATGAGGTTCTTCAAAATGCAAAACTGCATCGAAACACAAACTCTGTTTGACAACAGAGAGAAAAGTAACCAATTTCAAATAAAACCGATAAAGCGGACCGGACCTTTCTCTAAAAATTTCCGTTTTACCGGGGAGGGGTAAAATTCGTTAACCCAACGTCTTTTTACCCTACTGTCAGCATATCGGCACAGAGGGTCCCCAAGCCCTAAACCCGTTTTCTGTACCATTTGCGTGGATTCACCGATGAAAGCGACAAATTTACAGGTATTTCGTAAATGGTACAACTAGGTCCCATTCCTGTTTTCAGTACAAAACCAAATACCAGTACCATTTATCGGAAAATGTTCACCAAAAAACTGCCGTACAAATGGCCAGCGAGAACTCGAAGTCTTTTCCAGCCCTGCAGTCAAGACCACGACCTTTATGCTTAATTAAGCAATAATACTATAGCGCGAAATTAGATGAACCCTTTAGTTAACTCTATTCAGACTGGGGGGGGGGGCTTTTCGAACCCCCCCTCCGGCAAAATCGTGATCACTCCTACACCGAAAGAGCTATGACGTTCAAATTTTCTGACTTTTCCTAAAATTTATCTAGGTATAATTACCATGTCCATGTGATTAATCATGTTGCCATGGCAACCAGTTTCTGACACAGGTTTTGGAAAATTTTAAAAATGGTGATTTTTTTGTTTTAAGATCGCGTTTTTACACTTATAGTGCTTTTTGTTGTTAAAATGGTCTTTGCTTGGGACTAGTTTTTGAATTACATCAAAATGTTTCAACATCGAATATTTGGGGGGGAGGGGTGGGGTAAAATTTGTCACTTTTTTGCTTTGACAAATGTGCTGCTCTATTTTCCAAATAACACTTCCAAAGTCATTTGTTTGGGTAATAAACATTAGTTTGATACTTCTTTTATACATTCTGAGCTTTTTCCCCTTTGAAAGTTACTTTAAATTATAATTTTAACAAAAAAACGGAAATCCAAGATGGCGGATCCAAGATGGGGGACAACCATTTTAAATTTTAAATTTTATTGCTTCCTGTTGCTTTTTCTCGCTGTACAAGTGTTTCCTTATAACTAGTTCATAAGAAAGGATAACAAAGAGATGACTTTACCAATATTATTGATATTTTACGTATCTAAGTGGAAAAATAATAAGAAACATTAACAAATCGGAATATGACGTCACTGTGACGTCAATCATTGGGCGTGGCAAGTCAAAACTGGGTGTGGGGCTTCTTTGTACGGAGATGATCATTGTGTGTAAATTTCATGACCCTAGCATTATTGGTTCCAGAGATACAGAGGGGGGTCCGAGGAGCCCCCCCACCCCAGTCACAGATTGACCAAAAAAGCCCAGTCTGAATAGGGTTAAGGATAAAAATACACTTCTAGACCCACTATACCCTAAACTCAAATCTTACCTTCTGCATGTGGCCAGAAATCCCGTAAGGCAACGACTGTTTCAATTTCCCTGTGATGACGCCTTAACATCTCTCCCTAAGCCGTCAAAAAAACCAAAATGAATGGCCGTGCAAGTCGAAGAAAACAACATGCACACATCATCGCTTTATCTGGCTCTTCAAGTCGAAGTTCGACTTGATTGTTTGAAGGTTTGATTACTTAACTGTCGCGTGATTATTACGCGCGTAAACACGTAAATACGTGTAAATTAAATAGAGGCCATATATGTAAACGTAAAAGTTGAACCGCACTCAACTTTTACATTTACGTGCACCTTTCATATATTGCCTTTATTTTATGAACGCGCGTACATTTTACGTGCGCATGCACATAACACTAGACAAGAGACTGTACGATCCGACGACGCGACGGCAACGAGAACGTCAAAAATAACAATAGGTTTAGAAGACAAAACAATAGCTTTGCACGTGCATCTCACTTTTTGGTACACTTCTTTGCCGTTTTTGCACGACTACGACGTGAAATGCCTGATTTTACTTTTTAGGGAGGACGTAAACGAGCGACGACGAAATTTTATTCTCTCTCTAAACTTGAATATGGTTCTCAGAAATTCAACTCCGGGAGGGTTCGCCTACATTTGACAACGTAAGTGAGTTGGAATAATCGCCATGAAGACCGAAAGAACGCAAGTTCAATTTTGAAGCGACGTTTTCGCTGCCGTCGCGTCGTCCGGTCGTAAATTCCCCAATTACGCGACAGTGGAGGTCCAACATAAGGGTCATCCAATCCTTACGGCCGTACGCCGTCAAAGTCATGAGCATGACAAAGAGAACTCCTTTTAAATTAGTACAGATACAGTACTATAAAAAGCAAGTTTTGAAGAAAAACAGGGCCATATGTTACTACGTTAAAGATTCAAAATAGCGATGAAAAGGTACAACGAAGAAAAAATCACCGCTTATTAATATAGGATGCTCAAGATTATGAAGTGCCTTCCCAATCCTCGAACGCATTATTAGGGTAAGAAAACTTAACTCACCATGCGACAGACAAAAGTAAACAATATTAAATACCTTAAGCGTCTTGAATTTGCTCAGGATCTTGTCCACTTCCGCTTTAATTGACGCAGGTTCTTCCTCTTGTACCCTAGCTTTCTGAGAAGTGAGGCAAGGGCATATAAACCATTCAAACCATTAATCCCTAAGAGTGATCAGCATCAAATTTCTCCTTGTAATATCAATACTTTGTAAAACAAGATTGGTCATGAGGATTACGGACATGATCACACAAGATGAATTTGCTTGATATTTTATCATTTCACTCCGCTAATTAATTATGTAGAAAATGAATGGGAGCAACAGATGAGAATTTAAAATTTGATCTTAGGGTTTAAAGGGTTAAAAAATGCTATATGCTGTCTACAAAGGAAGTGCCCTTACTACATGTAGGTAGCTGCTCACGATAGTTTTAACAGGGTTCGTAGAGATTTTTGAATCCAAAATTTAGGCCTTTTTATTTTTTCAAACAAAAATTTCTTTTCCAGACTCAAGTTTATCAAAAAAGGTGATCAACAGCGATCTTGAAAAACGCACGAACAATGCTTTTCTTATGATGCACTGCAAACGTGCAATAACCACAGTGCAACTTCATTTACTAACCAAAAAATCCAGCCTTTATACCATTTTTCAAGAATCTTTCTCTATTTCCCAGACTATTTCCAGATCTGGAAATTGCTTTGCAAATTTCGAGAGTTTTTCAAAAATTCAAGACTCTGTAAGAACCAAGTTAAATATGATTTCAAACATTTAACAAATAAAACATATATAACGAACCTTCACTCCATTCAACCCCATCTGCGAAGTCAACACTGTGCATGCGCCGTACGGTACAGCGTATCCAGCTTTCTTTCGAGTGAAGTTCCCAAACAAACGAACAAGCTCCTGTTCTAGGGTCATGCGCAGTTTAACCTAAGGAACAAGCGATGCCAAAAATGGATTGTTTAACTCGCGTGCTGACGTATAAAAAATACGGGGCGCGGGATAAACGATGCACGCGATACACAAAGGACGATTTCAGCAAGTTTTAGTTCTGTTACCGAACAACGGCAGAACTAACACTCTCTGGAATTGCCCTGAAAAATGCTAAGAAAACATCATAACTTTAGACAAGGGAAGGAATTCTGATGTATTTCTATAACTATTTTTGACCCTTAACGATCGCTGAAATCTCTATACAAACCCTTATAATATTTCTTGGTTATGCAACGATTCTCGCCCGTGAGCTTGGGGTACCTGTGGTCTACCATGCAAGGTTAGGGTTGTAGGAAATATATCAATAATCTTTTTCACAGAAAATTAAGCAGGCTCGAAAGGTTTGAGGTTCCGGTTGATTAATGACGCTAAAGGATAATTCGATCTAAAAGAAATCTCATTGCGTCCAACTTTAAACAACTACATTGTACGTGCTGCTAACGTATAAAACAGCCAAATATTTTCTAGCCTGTTCCCGGCTCCGAGAGAGTTAGCCTGCAAACAGCAAACGTCCGGCAATACGTCTGCTCTTCGCAGGCTCCGAGATAGTCAGGTCCGCTGAATAAAGCGCGAACAAGAACCTGGAACAGGGTAAAGTATTTTTACGCATCGTCCTTTTCACGATTCAACAATAATTCACCTTTTCCGTGTCGTGTTGCGAGACAAGCTGGTCCAGCTGTCTTTCTTTTGGCGTTTTTTCGTTGAGCTGAAAAAAAAATCATCACCGTTTTTCAGTGTAGTATTTACATTGCGCATTCTTTCAAAAGGTACCATAAATCCTCTATTAAGTCCCCCGGGGGCCTTACATTTTTCAAGCAGTTTTGAGGGGGGGGCGCTTATTTAACCCACGCATCACCGGTAGCAAAAATACCGTAGTAAGAGACAGGGTAGACTTACGTGTTCTATAAGTCACTGGTAACAGTATTTAATTCACTTGTGGGAGCCTACACAGAGAACTAGAGCGTAAAGTTGAAAAAGTTAAGCACATGAAGTTGGAGGTCATGCGGCTGAAGACCAAAAACAATATGAACTTCCAGCCTGAATAAACCACACCTGATCAGTCCACGTTAAATGTTTGTGAAGAATAAGGATGGAGGGGAGGGGGAGGGGAACTTAATAGAGACGGGGGCTTAATAACTTTCCTCCTGTGGAAAGGGGGAGTGCTTATTAGAGAGGGGGGGGGGGGGCCTTAATAGAGGATTTACGGTAACCCTTCAACTACTTGTGTCAATTACGCATACAAGATACCTAAGCCCCTTTTATATGGAGAAAAGCTGTCCCGGGTAAAAGGGTCGCCCTTCTAGCTGAGTAAACTTTAGTAAGCTTTCTGACTGCATGTCTGACAATTTACCGCTAGTTTTACACTGGATTATAAGCGACGGAGTTAAGTGAGATGGGCCCTGTGTGCTTCTCCGGGGCACAAAAAACGTCCTAGGATAAGACAAAAAAAGGAAACTACCATTTTGAAAGATGTGGGCTCTTTTTTTGTCTTACCCCATCCCCGTACGTCTCTTGGGCCTATCAGGAGAATATAGACAGGCTGATTTTTTGGGATTGCGAATTTGTCAAGTTGATGACAGTTGTGGTCGTTTCGCCAGTCGTAGATTCGCCCAGTGACATACATCACCTCAATACAAAAATCTATTGATCTCCAATATTCCCATGCTGATTCCATTCCTTCAGGTTTGGAGAAAAACACAAATACACATCGAGGGAATCGAGTTAAGACTGGGCAAACTAAAATTTAGGCGAAACGGCGAACGCATTCTACATTCAATTTCGATTCATAAGGAGCAACTAACCTCATTTGAGGAAATCTTCATTCTGTGGCAGTTCTTGCTGTTTATAAGGAAATCCTCATAGCCAGGAACACACAGTTGCATCGTTGGCCAGCTATACTGGTATTTAGCTAGCTCTGATCTCCAAGTCGGATTTGCGATGTGACTTGTACATTCTTCCTTAACTGATGAGCTAGGATTGCTTTCAGAAGACCTTGTTGATGTTCTTTTTCTCCTGCTGGACTTGTTTTTCTCAACACCACTAACCTCTTTTCTTTTTTCGTTTCTTGGCTTTATCTTTGTGAAATTTGCAACTGACTGTTGTTCAAATGAATTGTCTACAACATTTTCTTTAGCTTTTTTATCAGCTTCACTTGACAAAGCACTTGTAGCATGTTGCTCATGTCCAAGACAATGGATATGATGAGCTTGAGGGCCCTCTGCTGGAAGTTTAACTGAAGCATCCAAATAACTACTTTGGCTAGTTGGTTCGTTTCCTGTCGGCATAGTACTAGTCTGTTTGAGAATCTTGTCAGTAGAATAAGGTATTTCTTTGCTGGTTTCCAAATACGAGGAAATCTCAATGATTGCCTTGTCAAGGCACTCATTTAATTTTTCAGGGGCTGGTGTATCTTCTTCAACCTCTTGAGTCACAGGGAGACCAGGTGCTGTAGAAAAACGTTTCCCTGTGTGAAGCCGAATAAGTGTTTCAGTTGCAATGGATTCTTCAAAAGTGTTTGGAGCAGTAAAGTCAGATGCTGTGTCCCTGACGACATTATGTGATTGTAAACCACTCACACATGTTGCCATGGTGATGTTCTGGCTGTTTACAACTTCAGTGTTTCCATTCAGCTTCAGCTCATCAGAATTCATGCTGCAAATCTGTGTGTGCTGAAAAAGCAAAGCCACGCCATCTCCATTGACACCAGTACTCTCTTCTTCAGTTTCTCTCAATGACACCTGCATAATGGAGGCTGTTTCTTTGTGACTTAAAGGTTCTTTGTTGTCAACAACAAAAATACCTTTGTTTTCACGTTGACTAGTTTCTTGCAGACTCTTAACAGTGGAACTTTTTCCCTCCCAGTGACTTTCGGCACTAACTTCACCGTCTCGAGGTTTTATAAACGTAAGTGTTTCTTTATCAGGAGAAACTTCAATAGGAATGACTTTGGATAAATTGCTTTCATCTACATGAACTGGTAAAAGGTTATTAAATGTTTCACTGTACACGCTTTCTTGGAATAAAGGCCTGTTTTCTCCAAGAAACTGTTCTTCGGACAACTTTGCCCACTTCCTTGGCTTGTGGCAGTGGATAATGGTAACCTTGAAGCCTTGTCGTGTCAGAATCCTTTGTGCCTTGCTCTGAACTCAAGAGGCTTCGAACTTCTGCAGATCTTGCCAGGTCCAAGGTGCTGTAATTGTGGGATGTTTGCATCATTGGATCTGCTCCATTGTCTAAAAGAAACTTGACAACCTGTGAACGGAAAATTGAACATCAACTACATAAGTTGTTTCATGCTGAAGTTACCTTTCCAAATTGCCAATCCCCAAGCACGGGTTTCAGTAAGCACCGACGGCCGACGAAACACGTCAGCTACTTTGCTGATAGAAGTCGGTTACTTTTTGGAAAGAAGAAGCAACTAGTTTGAATAACGTAAACAAAAAATTAACCATAACATCTGAATGAAAACGTAGTTATGACGTGTTTTCATAAAGGCCCAGTGATTTTACGTCATGCTTTAGCCATGTGAACGCTATATTTCAGTCAATTTTTCATAAGTTTCTTTATAGGTTTACGCAGAATTTGTTTACATGGAAAAGTATGCAATTTAGTTTCATTTGTTCATTGCTGGTAGGAATTGTCCGAATTGATTGTGTGACTGATAAATCGAAAGTTGCACGAAAGCTACATTTTCTTCAATGAAAAAATTTAATGTACTCTCTTTTCCTCAATTTAGTCCCCAGAACGCCGAAAATCGCATTTTAGGGCATTGAAATTTCAAACTTTTCTGGGGAAGCACGCCCACCGACCCCCCTCCCCTCTCCTACAAAAAAGGGACTAACGGTCCCTTGTCGATACGGTCGGTTATTCTATTCAATTGAAACCTGCTGGCTACTTCAATTTTTATTGAAACCCCTGCTCATGAGGACAATCCAGTTAGGAATGGAGAGAAGTTACATTGCCAGCAGAGCCTGTAAAGATAACCTATTCACAATACATGTCTAAATATAAAAACCAAAGCATTTCAGAACAATTTAAAACGGAATTCAGAAAAATTTTTTCTTGCGGAAACTGGAATCGTGTTTTGGAATCCAGAATCCCACTATCCAGAATCCAAGTTCCATTTACAAAGACTGGAATCCAGTACCTGGCATCTGGAATCCATGGCATGGAATCCAGAATCCAAAACTGCATGTTTTGGATTCCTTTCATGGGGTGAAACAACAATGCACATTGTAAGCAAACCTGGGTATGATCATTGATGACAGCATCATGTAAAGGAGTGATGGCTTCATATCCTGGAATGCTAACATCAGCACCTGACCACACTAATTCCTGTACAATTCTGAGGTTACCATAGTTACAGGCTTCATGAAGAGGTGTCCACCCTTTGAAATAGTGAAAAAAATAAGAATAAAAAGGAAATAAAGTTGTGCTTATCTTTTCTTGTTTAAAAAAGTTACCACACTTATTTTTCAAGATAATGCTGGAATTAAGTTACTATACAGCACCAACAAAGTGTCTGAAGCACCAGTGTCTGAATAAACAAAATAATTAAAATAATGATAACGATAAAAGTAAAATAAATCTTTTAGAAGGAGGCCACCATATCTAAAGATGGCTTTCAGGAAGTCCTCTAAAGTATATGTTAACAACAAATACATTGTATCATAAGATAATTGAACTACTAAGTGCCCCGATAACAATAGGCATCCCGTAGTACAGCTACTTCAATAATTTGGCAAACTGCTTGTTGCTTGTTGTTGATATTGTTATTATTATTATTAGTAGTAGTAGTAGTAGTAGTAGTAGTAGTAGTAGTAGTAGTAGTAATAATATTAGTTTTGTTATTATTGTCTATTTAATTTATTATTATTATTTTTTGCATAACCAACTCATGACATTTGAGGAAAAATTAATGTTGCTCAGAGGCTTGAGCAAAATTGGAAATGGTCAAAACAAAAACTACTTTCATTCTTAGTGTGTTCTCAAAAAGAAAACTATATCACCCCCAAACAATTGCCAGTCACTTTGTCTTTTCAAGGATCACATTGGGTTTTCAAGGACTACCGACCAGGAATGTAATTTCACAGATTGCACAAAAATGCACATTCCCAGCCCATTCTAACAGGACTTTAAGGCTTGAATTATTTGCTCCACCAACTTCTCTACACTTTTCAGTTCACTCGTCTCAAATTTATAGTTAACATTATAATTCTTGCAAAAACAAAAACAAAACACTTTATGTAAATCACCCTTAACTTCTTTGAGCTGTGATTTATACAATGTATTCTGTCTTGAACAACCACAAAGCATTAAAAAAAAAAACATTTTCTGGGTCACTACACTGTACATTCAAAGTTAAAGAAAATTCAAGGACTTTACGAACTGTACGAACCGTGTTTTCATGGAGACATCCACCCTAATTCCCAAGGTCCTCTCACCATGGCTCGAAAAAAAGGCCTGTCCGGTAGTCTACAACAAGTGCATTTTCTTACTGGGCAAGCAACTTTTAAGCTTACTTGCTCAATGGGCAGAATACAGGCAAGTCATCCTCTAATAAAATCATTGACTTAGGGTGCATTCCTTTGGGATGATCCGGATCAAGAACAGGGATCCGAGATCACTCCGACCATGGTAGATTAAATGAACCGATGAATCCACTCGGGACAAGGATTCATCGGTTCATTTGATCCATCATGATCCGGTGATCACAGATCGCTGATCCTGAAACAGATCATCCCAAAGGAATGCACCCTTACAATGTAGGCGGGCAAGAAGTAGGCCTGGGCATGCAAAATGTTAGAGCTTCTTGCCCAAAGGGCAAGGTGGAATTCAAGTTTTTTCTTCAAGCCCTAACTCTCCTTCCCATCCCCTTTCTTGACCCAGGGGAAGAGTAGGAGAGAAGAGAGAGACAAGGTTAGGAGACATCTTCTGTACATTTTTTTCTTACCAGCATTGTCTTTCGCATTGACAACAGCACCAGCTTTAATCAGGGCTACTACATCCTCCAAGTCGCCTTTTATGGCAGCAACATGCAATGACGTCTCGCCACGCTCATTCCTCTTCCTGATGCGAGCCTCAATCTGATTATCCTTGGCAATGTTTCTCTTCTTTGTTTTGCTGCTATTACTGGGCAAATCATCACAGTTGCTGGATTCAAAATCTTGCCTCACCTCTTTGGCTGTTACTTCAAGGAGATATTGTAATTGCTGCCGTTCTGTGAGAGGATAGTTAGCTTTGGAGCCCGGTTCTCCTTGAGGTTGTACATTTGCAATCTTGGATGCATTGTACTTCTTGGCTGTAAAGAAACAGTAAAACAGTACACAGTGAGTATGATGCGGTTCCAGAGTGACGACCCTTTATCCGTCAGTATAATCAACTCTTTTTTAGCATGTACAGTACCTTTATGGGAAAGACGTACACCCTGTTTAGTACCTTCCCTATCATTTTTGGCCTTTTTACAACTATAACGTAACTCTTTATCAAACATACACCTCCCTAACATGGATGGAGTCCAATATTAGAGAGAGTTAAGTTTACTGTATCCCACTCACCCATTTTGTATGCAACTTTGCCATAGCTTCTTGATATCACATGGGCACGTTTTGGATTTGCTTGTCATCCATACTTCATTTCCCTTCCCTTAACCATTAGTGTTTCACTACGGAAGGGGTAGCTACTTACCAGGGGATATTGCCATAAATATTATACAAAGCTCTTGTGGGAATTTAAGTTAATTTGAGGGTGTTGCAGGGAACTAGAGTCTGGAAGAAAAAAAATGGGAAAACCAGACTGCAGTTGAGACACTCTAACCACTGTTTTGACTGAGGCCAGGGGAATCATTGTGTGGTCAAACAGGAATGTGAATAAGAATGTACAGAATAGATATAGGCCATTAAATGGCGTCATTTTACTACTACAACCAGAATCCTCCAGGGTATTACTTTCTTGTGCAAATTAACACTTTTGATACTTACACTCCTGTCACTGGGACTACCAAATTTACAGACGACAGGAAAAACGAATTCATTCTTAGTAGTAAAGAGACGTCATCATGCAAATGGCCCATTGTGCCTTATTTTGATCAAGTTGCTGCACATGAATTTGATCACTAAAGTATGGTACAAGCTCCAAATGCTCCACTTGGAAGGATAAAGTAATAGTAAAGTAACAAAACTAGAACATATCTGTCAGGAAAAACTCAATTCAGTTTGTGGTTGCTGTCAAACTCCTGTTTGCTCTAATTAAAGGACTTTGAAGTGCTGTTATTGAATTCCTTCTATCCTGCCTTCTTCTACTTTTTTGCTGCATCTTCAGTTCTTCATGAATTTTTTATTATTACTGGGGGGGGGGC